TGTTCGGTAGTTTGGTTCCCACGAACCAGGGGAACAATCGCTACTTTGAGCCAGAGGGTTCTGTTCGTGCATTATTTAATTTTTATGACTTTTCAAAATAGACCGACCACACAGCCTAAACTCATGGAACTGTTTCTGGGCAGGAGCCTCGTGTGCGGTCGGTCCAAATGGGACTTCCATAAAATTCAAAAACCCTGAACTGATCTGGGTGATTTTTGGACATGTTGGTCATCCAGATCAGATATGAAATTGGGGGATTTTATGTGTTTTGGGGTACATTTAAGTTTTATGAAAAATTTATTTTTTCTGCCTGGAGATAATTAAGTTATTACTTTATCTGATTCAATAATTTCACAATTATCTCTTGTATTGGGAATGTCACACTTTGTCACTGTGTTGTCATTGGTTGTAAACTTTGTGTCCCTGTTCTCCACAAGGTCCAGGTGGGAGTGTCCTTGCATGGAGACTTGCATAAAAGCCAGTGTGGCACCCATTAAAATCATTCCTGTTGTACCCTTAACGAACTCAAGGCTCATGTTTGAGTAACTGTCTACTTGCCGGGGGAGAAACTACTTGGATGCTGCATTCGTCTGAAACTGTTCAAATTTACACCCGAACTGCAGCTATAATCACTCAGGCTCAGCAATTCGAGAGGAAATAGGCGAACATGGTATCTACTATACCAGCGTTCGTAACATTGATGTATAGAGTATATATGCACAATTAAAAAATATATATATATTTTCTCATTTATTCAGAATGGCTTATTTTACCACCTGCCCTAGAAGTAACTCTAGACAAAAAAAGATGAGTCCAGTTTTAAGGGGAATAAAAGAGTGCAGTGACGGCTTATACGTTTCTAACTTATGGCCTTGTCATTTCAGCCATAGAATCTCCCATGAATCCTCTCTAAGGAAAAAGAAACAAACAACTATTCATTGCATGGGCTGCGGTTTTAAAACTCCTTGGGGGGGAAGAACTTATGCTTTTAATGCTTGGAATATGTTACAGAGAGACAGTCAAATAGAAGCTCACCGCAAACTGATTAAAAGAAATAAGTTTCTGATGCCTTAGCAGAAGATTTTTAATTGGTATCCAAAGGGGAAAGTAAGAGATACAGAGAAGCTTCTCTCTCCTCAGAATCTAGTATGAAGAGGAAATTTGCGAATCATGGAACAAATACCTAGACTCCAGGAAGGTGGATTAATTAAAGGGACACTATAGTCACCTGAACAACTTCAGCTTAATGATGTTGTTCAGGTGAGAACTATAGCTCCCTGCAGCCTTTCTCATGTAAACACTGTATTTGTTTACATTGAAAGCTAAGAACACCTCCAGTTGCAGTCACTCAGAGTGAACCAGAGGAACTTCTGAGTTGATGGAGGCATAATAACATCCACTCAGATCTGCTGTGCACGAGCATCCTGTGATTCAGTATCTCTTCCCACTGCATGCAGACACTGAACTTTCCTCAATGAGATTCATTGATTCAATTAATCTCTATGAGGAGTTACTGATTGGCCAGGGCTGTGTTTGAATCATGCTGGCTCTGCCCCTGATCTGCCTCCTTGTCAGTCTCAGCCAATCCTATGGGGAAGCACTGTGATTGGATCAGGCTATCACATGTTAGCAGACTGCTTGTTTTTCCTGAGTCTAACAGCATGCAGATTTACAGCTTCTGGCTTGAATACAGTAAGATTTTTACTATATTTATGGAAGCATGAGGGGCCCAGGGGGGCTAGATGGTCATGTTAACATTATAGGGTCAGTAATATATGTAGTTGCACTGGTGACTATAGTGTCCCTTTAATTGCATTAGTAAGAAACACTTTATAAATTCCAAGAAGAAGCATCTGAAAAGACTGCTTCAGATATGTTTTTTGAAGATTTAAGATCTTCTAGACCTACATTTCCACTTCATTCAACTATAAAAAAAACCTTTCTTTACATATCAAAGTGACACCAATGCCCCCTTTTGTTCACAAGACTCCAAGTCCAGGGGAAAAAAATATTGGAGGTCTGGAATAGAACTTTCAGTGAGTACATCTGGCAAAAAGGAGGGGTGAAATCCGTAGTTGAGGAAGAAAGGGGTCTCTTGTGTAGATTTGCTTTTTTGTGAATTGATGATAAAACTCAGTGGCAGGTAGTAGTTCGGATCAATCATCCTGTAAATATGTGGTATAGCATTGGGACATATTGTTCCACAACCTGGTTCGTTCTTTTGGTTTGCAGATTGTTCTGTGGGTGGAAAGACAGGTTGACTTGGATATGTAGGATGACAGCTTTCTTTCCAAAAATGAGAGGTAAACTGAGTTCCTCTGTCAGAAGTAATGGATTCAGGAACTCCATGTAGGCAAAATAGTTCCTGATAAAACAAAATAGAGGTTGTACCATACTAAATGTACCATTTTAGTAAGTCGATCTACAACCACCAAGATTGTGGTAAACTGGCATGATGGTGGTAGATCAACAATGAAGTCCATAGTGAAATGACTCCAAGGATGAGATGGGACTGGTAACAATTGTGAGAGCTTGCTTATTTCAGGCACAAACCAAACAGGTTTGGACATAGGTCTAAACATCTTTAGTCATGGATGGCCGTCAAAAATGTACCTTTTTTACAAGGTCTAGCATTTTAAAACAGCCTCCATGACCTACTGTGGGAGAATCATGACATGACTATAGGAACTCTTTCCTTAATTTTTCCTTAATGAGTGTTACACTTATCTGTGCAAAGGCATAGTGGAGTCTTTAGCATAGTCCGGCATTTTAACTGTTTTGCCATTCTTGCCAGGCAGAGTAGTTGATCATTGTAACGGAACTCCTTGTACTCCGACTGAGTACCCTCCGTTGACGGATGCTCCTAGCGCTTCCGATGCGCCTCTAGCGGAAGACAGCCACTAGAGCTGGCTTAACCCCAGATGTAAACATACATCAGGCAGGGTTGACCCTAGAGGGACCTGACACCCAGACCACTTCATTGAGCTGGGTGACTATAGTGTCCCTTTAACACTGCAGTGGTAATTATTGCAGTTTAGTGGCGGTCTACCAGACAGTCACTAGAGGGACTTTCGAGTCGTTAGGTGACTTTTGGTCATCCAGCATCATCCAAAACCCCATAAGAAAGCATTGTTTATAGGTAGACATTGCAGTGGTAGTCTTGTTTGGATCGTGATAGAGGAAGTCCATAGTTAACTTGAAAGAATCACAATCGTTAAGATGGGAACTTTGATTATGTAGAAGATTATGGGCCTAACTTCTGTGTTCCACTGACATAAGAGAAATCAGAGTTCGCACTTTTTTCAGTCATTATGATAGGTGCGTGGTTTTAATGTAAACAATAAGTCGGAGGACATAAAAGTGTTGTACTTATTCCGTTCTACTTAAACTTGCTCAGGAAAAGAAACCTGAGGTTCCAGAGCATGTGGCTCATCATCAGGAAGTGGAGTCAGGTGGGCTGTATAGGTGGCTCCTGAGGTCAACAGCTGTGACTGTAACTGCATTTGTCCTGCTTGCAGATCTTGAACAGTTTAACCCAGGGTACTCACTTGGCGGGTCAGGCTATTCAAAGTCTCTAATCTTTACAAGATCCATAATTGGCTCAGTTCTGTCACGAATTTGTGGTGAATGGGCTCAGCATGTAGAGATTTTGGACAGTCACTGTACTTAAAGTCTTTATTGATAAGGCAAAAGAGTATAACTGAAAAACCCCAGTACAAGATCAAAGAATGCAAGATCAGGACCAGCAAATATTATATAGGCCTCTGGGCCTATACATGCAGGTAGGTCTCTACACTCACTATGTGGGTTGGACGCTATGTCCATTTATACACCTGACTGTTTCCACACACTGCCCTATAGCACACTACCAAGGATCCCCTAATGTTCTAAGATCCATGCCATGGTGGATTACCCATCAGACAATCTTCTAGAGACTGGAGCCAGGAATTTTATGCCTTGGCCACTAATGCTCCTGCCATTACTGCCCTGCATTGGAAACCTGGAGTCAAAGTTTCTGCTCTTTTGTCCATCAGATCTTTCAACTCAAACTTCACCAATGTGAATTGTCTTTTTGGACAGTTGTGCTACCTGTATGTAAACCTTTGGCAATTCCTCCCATACATCTTCACCTCAAAGTTTGAAAATGTCCTTGAAATGAAGGTTCTATTTTCAAGACTTCTAAATTCTCTTTGCACAAGTTCAATTAGCTTTTGTTGTACAGGAATATCCTTTATTACTTTTTGATGAATCTCAAAATTTGATGATCTCTAAGCATTAACACTGCATATGTGCACTTTCTGCAACAGTTTCTCCACCAAGGTTATGAAATGGTACTGCCCAAGTGATACAGTGTCTGTTGTATCGAACATACTCAAGGAAACCAAAGTAATAGAACAAAGTATTCTATAGAAATCCGGAAATAATAAGTTTGGGTACTGTACCATCTAAAAAATATTAAATGAATATAGTAAAAAAGCTACCCCCTTAATGTCACATCTGTCTTCTGAAAAGGTAAACTACGAAAACTTTATACAAATTACTTCCTAAAATTGGAAATAGAACGAGAAAGCAAGTGTTGCAGTGTGGTGGTTCGTTTAAAACAAGACAGTAGAGAATAACGAAGAAAGTTGGCAAATACAGTAACACTAAATCTGCTGTCAAATGCGTATTAATATATGCAAGGTATGTAGGTAAAGTATTTTGTCTTTGTATGACGTGTTAATGCATGAGATAAGTGAATTTGACTCAAGACCGCAATTCCGATTTATATCGCTTAGTACATTTGTTTTCAGTCCCGCAAGTTTCTGCAAGACTAACGAGTTAAACTTCAGAAGTAACTTTTAAACAAAGTTAAACACTTTAATATATGCATTTACTAGCAACAGACAAAATGCACAGATACAGGAAGTGTTTTACAAAAAACAAGACACTCCTTTTACCTTGGCAGGGTCCTTTTAATAAAATTTGGTCATATTCAAACATATCTGCTTAGAAAATACCCATCACATTCCTAGTATGCACAATTAACTATAATCTACTATAACATTTATAAAATGTCCTTTACCACGGACGCATGTTTCTTTCATCCTCTAGCAATTAAACATACCATTTTCAAAGTATATACCCGTGTATTAAACAGATTTATATTCAGTCTGCTGAGATTACAACCCTTTCTTGCCTATTCCAGGGTCTACTGTATCATTCTCCATTCCCCTTCTAATATTTTGCAATCTTCATTCCTGAATTCACTTGCACCAATGCTTCAGAATATATTTTTCCATCAATGCAGAGGAATGTGGCAGCACTGTGCATGTTTGACCAGATCCAAATCATTTGTTGGGGAGATGAATACACAGCAGACATAGCTATTCTCATATATGAACGAGTGGTGTTGCACAAGAAAAAAAGAAAAATGCAGACGATGCATTACAACATAAAATAAAAATCCACACTGCCTGTCAAAAATATTTGTAGATTGTTTTTATTAGCAGTTAAAAACAACATTAAAGTTTTTTATATTTTTCATTAAGATAATAGGCATCTAAAAAGGGACATATTGTTAAGTCCAGACATGCGTCAAAGAGAAACTGCCCAGGTTTTTTAGTATGTTTATTTATCCCCAACATTTAACAAAGGTCTGTCAGGTCTAAAGAAATTAAATGTAGAAATACACACCATTCTATACTGGAACCGAATGTCACCATCTTTGCCTCCTGTCAAAAAATATGAGCTTTGGATTTTGTACCAGGTAGTGAGCATGGAGGGAGGAGGAGGAGAAACAACAGGGGAGACATATCAAAGTTGGGCCATGCAGTTAAGGAAACCAAAGCACATTCCATTGGAGTTTATTCCACATTTAGAACTTTGCACTACTTTCAAATAACCCTTCCTCTACCAACATTTCAGCTTCTCCTCCAATGCAATGTGCAACCTGGTTGTGCCACTACTGGATTGTATTGTGGTGGCTTTTGTTAGGACTTCAATACACATTTAAAAGATATCAGTTACATAAATAAAGGTTTACAAGTTATAGGTGATGTTCAATGTTTCATTCATTGATGTAATTACCAGAAAAGCAGATGTTCTCCCTTTAACCTCATAATACAGAATTCTTTGAATTTTGCACTAAAAGCATTACACCTTAAAGGAAAACTCCAGGATGACGCCAACCCCCATAACAATTAACATTAGGCATTAAACAATTAAACCCAGAAGTTGGCGCCCAGGCCTCCTGTTTGCTCTTCCATATGGGCCATCTCTGGCCCCTAAGGTAAACCTTTCTGGGCTCCACCATGGAAGGGGTACTGAGGAAGTCATGATGCCAGGGGCTAGCTTTGGGATTAAACCATTTTAAAAAGGAATATAAAACCACCAGGAACACCAACATTTTGCATATATGTATTTATAATGTTCCTTTAAGAGCTCACAGTGTGTTATGCATGTATGTAAATAGGATAATAGCGGTTGTAGTGGCATTTCACAATATAACTCTAGGTATGGAATTTCATAGCTATACACACTCCTTATAATTACCACTTTTCATTTTCAACTTATAATAAAAAGCCAAAACAACCTATATACACTTTACAAATTCTATTAATACTAATCTTATCTGATTTTTGTTTATATTTTTTAAAAATACAAAACCAACTCAAAATGGGAAAAAAGTCAACTCCAAAGACATCTGCAACTCCATTTGGCAAAATATTTATTTATAATAAATCTGTTCAAAAGCAGTTGGTCACGTCAGTTATTAATTTTACATTTTTAGGCTATTACAATGAATTTGATAGATGTATATAAATGAACTGCCTTTCTTGTAGTTTACAAAGACAAAAAACAAAAACAAAAAATATGAAAAGAAAAAAAAACAAAAAACACTGATATGACTGCAACAAGAAAAAAAAAAAGAAAAAAACTGATTAAATCAGGCAGAATCCTTAAGACAAAACGGCAAAGCAAGATGAGTGTGTCTGCTCTCAGGCAATGCTGCCATGATAAAATACCCGTACAAATCCTCTGCCCCGTTAAGGTATCCCCCACCACTTCTACTGCATGTTTGGGCTCTGGGAACGGAATCAGACGTCAGGTACAGTAGCAGCTCCAGTCAATTGAACAACAGTACTGCATGTCAACACTGGGAATGGTTTCTGATATTATCAAAGCCGGACACAGTACTTTCAAATCAGATTACAAGAAAATGTTTATTATTCCCACTCAGTAGTTCCAGGTGGCTTTGATGTCAAGTCATACATTACTCGAGATATTCCAGGGATCTTCTTAATTTCAGTGACCATCTTCAACACAACCTGAGAGTTGGAAAAAGATAGAATTTACAAATTAAAGTAAATCGTTTAGGTTCCATTCACACAACTAAGATTTGGGAGCAGTCTGAAATTTGCCTTCACTTTTTGTTGGCTTAATGCAGAAACAAGAAATCTAAAAACACAACATATTTTAAAATTTGAACATGGTGGGGTAAAAATACTCACTGTATTGTATTAAAAAAATAAAGTTATTTACCTTTCAGTTTTCCTTTCAGTTGCACAATTTAGTATGTTTGCAGCAGCTACCGGATAGAACCCACCCATACCAAGAACAAAATTTTGTCCCATAAAACCTTGCACACAATATTAGTATTTTATCCTCATGAGGAATTTCACGCACCTCTTACATTCGCAGCCGCAATTAGTTTGCATACTAATTAGTGAACCAAGTTATGTTAAGCTAGCTGTTGGCTTTCTATCAGGAGAGAGCTCAGTCTAAATTGTGTGTGTGGAGTGCATACACCGCAAGCAAAATTATCACTCTTGTTCCAGGTCTGCCCGATAGGGTTAGAACTGCAGCAATTTTTACAAAACTCTAAAGAGCAGAGCGGCTGCTGCATGCTCTCTATGCAATTATGCAGAGCTGTAGTAGTGCTTAGAGAGATCCTTTGAATTGATGGAGAAGGAATTCAAGAAAATGTAATATTTTAAATATTCCTATTGAGGTTCATTGAAAACATGAATGGACAACACAAAATTTGCATTTGGCAATATGAAATAAATGATAAAAGAAAGCAGGTTAACTATGGAAAGTACCTCTTCTGGAATCTCATTGCCTGGGGTTGCTGCAACGCCGGTCATAAAGTCGCTGGTGATAAATGTACGGATAACTACGGATCTCTGACATGAAGGTTGTTTTTGTAAAGGGTCTCGATCAAAATGCAGAGGTGTTAATATGATGGGCATTTGGCTGATTTTACCAGCGTAACCTGTGGAAGCAATACAATAACACTCAACTTACAGTTAAGTAAGCAATAATTTACACAGCTACAGGGAAAAAATACTTTCACCGGTATAAGAAAGGAGACTGGCAAAATGCACCAGGCTGATGAGAAGTGAATAAACGAAGGACCACAAAATGTGCTAATGGGAGACTTATTGTAATATTAGAATATATGAGTTAGCAAAATTCAGATTCTCAGACATTCACTGTCACTGAATACACAAAATGATGTTATTCACAAATATTTTCTAGGGTACAGTTCTAGAATCAAAGCAATTACCATTAAAAAAAACAATGTTTAACATTAAAAAAAAAAGTGTTTCCCATTAGAATATCTGAACAGTAGAGAAAAAAAAAAAAGAAGAAAAAAAAAGGAAAAAAAAACATCTTGACTCATATGCACAGTTCTAGTTTATGTACAGTACTGGACTGCAAGCATATTTGTGTATGGTCCACATGATCTCTTGCTGACATTTCTTATGATTTACTACACATATTTATATCAGTTTCTTTACTCATCGCATAACTATGTACAGGTTTAGAAACATTGTGTGAACCCAATCCAAACAAGTTTCCCTTGGATGTCCCTATACAATATAAAACTGCATGGACATAAAGTTCACTAAGCTCATTGACCTGTAACTAGATCCTCACCATCTGGCATTAACCTTAATCACTGCTATTTGGGAACTGGACTAACTCAGTCACACACACACTAAGATAAGTAAAGAAGACGGCATATTTCCAGACAGAAATAATTTTTATCATTTTTACAATTCTACTCAGCCCTATCCATTTCAATACACCAAGTGACCTAATATCTCACATGATGTCAGGTTTCTATGTGTAAACCAAAAATGCAGATTTCAGAATTTACCAGGCCTGATAGCTGAATGGAAATTGAGCAAAATTATTTTAAAAAGAGATGTAAGATGAATCACAGATACTCATCAACTGTATTTGGGTTGGCAGGAGTTGCTAGAGTACTTAAAACAGCCACTTTTATTTGCCCAGTACTGTCCAGATCTAGCAATAAAATCAAAGATGATGCCAACATAATAAACCAAGAGGAAAAAACTCACAGGCACTCCAACTTCAAGCCGCAGGCAGATTTATTATGACAGAATGCAACGCAACGTTTCGACCGGAAAGGTCTTTTTCAATCTTGAAAAAGACCTTTCCGGTCGAAACGTTGCGTTGCATTCTGTCATAATAAATCTGCCTGCGGCTTGAAGTTGGAGTGCCTGTGAGTTTTTTCCTCTTGGATTATTGTACTGGGATTGCTGGTCCTGCTCTGGAGCACCCTTGGCCGTTGGGACTGGGTGCGGTTCTCATCACTTACTCTGCCAACATAATAAAGGCATATCAATCTTTAGCAAAAAAAAAAAACTACTTTTTTTTCCTTTAAAGATGATCATGGCAACTTACCAGACTCTCTCAGAATATTATGAGCCTCGAAATCTGCTTGCCGCAACGTACTAAGCACTCCTGTTGTTAAAAAGGTAGGAGTAACATCAGTAGGAGGCTCTTTGACAGGTGACCCAAACACAAAAACAACTCTAAAAGAAATACAAACAAAATAAAATAAATGAAAATTAAGAAGCATGAAAAACCCCAATAAACACTTATCTGGACTAGCTGGTGCTATAATGCTATAAAGTTTCCTTATAATATATTATCTGTAATACACTATTGTGTGGTGGTGAATTTACAGTAAAATGAAGAAATTGTTTAAGAAATTTGAAGTGCCAAAATTGAATGTAGATGACAAATGCACTTATAAATAATCTCTAGGACGTCAACTCTCAAACCTAAGAGACCAAACAAAGTCACAGACTCTGCTATGGAAATTTGCTGAATATCTACCTGTTGATATTATGACACATGCGTGGTATGAGACGAGCCAGGTACATTAAAGATTCCCAATGGGGAGCATCTTTACTGGAGATTCCGCACACATAACTATAAGAGCGACAGTCCCCCTGAAAACAGACATAGAACCAATTTCCATATCACTAAAAGAAAAATGCAAAGTCTACAAAACTAAAAAAAACAAAACACACTAAAAAAAAAAAAAAAAAAAAAATTCTACTGACCTGAACTCCAACAGTTTTTATGGGCAACAAAAAGGCATTTAGTGAATGTAGACTAGTAATTTGCAGTAGTTTCTCCTGGTCCTCTTCAGTTGTACAAGCTTTGACTCTTTGTAGAAGGGTATGTGGCTACAGAAACGAACAATCCGATGAGTTTCAACAACACATTGATCAATCTTTAACATGATTTTCACATTATATTTAAAAAACGCATTTACTGGAGTAAAACAACAAAATCCAATTTTTACTTGTCAATAATTCAGGTAGAGAATTATTGAAATGCATATATGTTTCAGGGCAGCAGCCAAGGGCTTTTGAGATGAATGGCTAAACTAAGGCACTGGTTTAACAGCAAGAATAGAGGACTAAATATTGATTTAGGTTTCCTGTCCCACTACAAACACTTTACATGAACACTCCCCCACATTATCTTACTGTTCTGTCATATGTATCAACACTTTAAAATTCCAATATGTTTATTCTATCAATATACAAAGTACTATGTGTAGACCTATGCTTTCCCATACTCTTATGCATGTGTGTGTATATGTGTGTGTGTGTATATATATATATATAATATAATATATATATAATATATATAATATATATATAATATATATAATATATATATATATAATATAATATATATAATATATATATATATATATATATATATATATATATATATATATACACACATATATACACACACACTGTGCATTTATATTTGTGTATATAAGTTCATGTGCATGTATGTATATGTGTTCATGTGTTTGCATATACATAGTGTACTATCTTCTGCACTGTCTGCTTAGTGGTGGGTTTTTTCTCTCTCTTCCCCCCCCCCACCACTCTGATCTTCAGAAAGATATTTATGACCCTCTGTGAGAATGGTGTCTATTTTCTAATCAAACCTGTGTCTTATCTGCACTCATGTCGCTTTAACCCCTATTTTCAACTCTGAATTCTATGTGTCTTCTTGCTCAGAAATGCTTCAGACTTGAGAAAGGGAGGTTCTCCCGAAAGCTTGCCATTAAAAAATTCTGTTAGTCCAATAAAAAAGGTATTACAAGATACAAAATGTATGTCTTTTACATCTACATCACTAGACTAACACGGCTACAATCTCTACTTGTACATCTATAAACATATCTGTGTATTATATATGCACACATGTGGAAGATTGTAAATGCTATTTAAAAATCTCTGCTATGTCTATAACTGCACAGGTTATGGTTGGGGCGTGTATCTGTAATCTAGTTGATATACTGTTCAGCTTATGTGGTTACAAAAACCAGTTCACTTATAAAGCAAGAGGATTGGTAATGTCCTAATTGCAAATGTTTCTCTGTAACTGTACTTTACTAAAATTTGCTTGATTTATATTTTATGGGGTACAATTGAATCTTATAAAAAGTGTTTCTAAATGGAAAAAAAGACAAAATACCTTTTTAACACTTGCTGAATAGTCTGCAATTATTTTCAATATGTTATTGGTTTCAGGAAAGTCTTTACAGACGTAAGGCTCCTCAGCGCATATCACTCTGATTGCTAGTCCAGGACCTAGCAGGAGAGAGAACATAATTGATCGCCAGTATTTAACAAATATTTCCAACTCCGGTTTTATTTATTTATAAAAATTACATGTTAAAAAGGGACATACTATAGGTTATGGGGAAAAGAAGTCCCGCAGCATAATCTTGTTGCACATAGCTTGTTGTAACTGCAGAAATAGAATTCCTGACCCCCAAAACAACAAATAGCTATTTGAAAGAAGTTTTTTTTTGGAACTGACAAGAACATGATGTAATGTTTTCAAGACAATTCCAAACTTACCTGGGAAGGGATGTCGGCTGACAAGTTCTTCAGGTAAACCAAGTTCTCTACCCAACACTCGGACTTCATCTTTATGAAAGTCTTTCAATGGCTCAATTACTTTACCCTGAAGGCAAAAAAATAAATAAAAATGTGTGATTAGGTAAGCAAATGGAACAGGAGCATTTTCTGAAGCTACACTTGGTTAGAAAAGTGAACTGTATGGTTTTTGTACTTTCATAATGAAATACATTTTCATGTGTTAAAATTGCTGTTCTTGGCTACCACGTAAATGATCACACACAGTAAAACTACAAAACACAAACAAAATTCATTTCAGAATCTGCAGTGAGATCTACCAATGACTATACACATCACATACCAGTCAGACAATGCAACACAAGATAAAGAACTAAATGTTACATAAAAGGCCTCTTTTATATAAACGGCAAAAAAAGGTGGAACAATGTGGAAAGTACTATTTTGCCATACAGCATTGACAAGTCTTCCAAAACAATATTTTTTTTTGTCCACTATTTTTGGGAAATCCTACCCTTTACTACCAATAGTTTTAATAGAAATTTATTCTTTTCATGAATCATTTATATGGGAATCTTGCAGATCCATTTTCTTTTGAGAGACAGATATCAAATTAGGATTATGTAGCAGTCTAAATATTTGTCATATCTAGATAAACATATTTTGGAAAATATACGCAGCAGTATGCATGAAACCAAATAAGGTGACAATATTTGAGCTGCAGGTAGGCACTTAATAAAGATATGGGCAGCACTGGCAAGTAACCTATCCTTTGATAAACTGTACATCTGAAGCTTGGTCTCTAATCAAATTTTTATTTATTTTCTCACTGTAGTTAGATTATCACAGGAAAGGGCCTTATTGAACACAGGTAATATTATCAGACATTACCTCTTCTCTCAGCTTTCGGATGAGCTCTGTGTCATTGTGATGGGTCTTAATAACTTCGGCTTTAACACTGACAAGCGCAGATGCACTTTCTATTAAATCAGGCCTTAATGTCCCTTGTGCAAGAAAGACTTCTTCAGGCTTTAGGTTCAGCTCACCAATAACCTCATTAGCAATCTAGAAGAGGGAAAAAAAATTAAATCTAGGTGCACCTAAAAAAGTGAAAACTTCAAAAATAAAATGGCAATCTACAGGGGACATGACACAAAAATAGACATTTATCCAAAAAATAAAACATCCCCTTTAGTACCAAGCTCATTTTAATTAAAATAGGATAACATTCATTTTGAAACATCTTAAGGGAAGCTAACTCAAATGTAAGAAAACATTTCAAAGATTGCTAAAAAAAAATAAAAAAAATATGAAATTGTACTTTCTTCATTCAGTAATAAAAATGGTTGGTATCACTTACTATGCAATGTTCCAGACCGGATGTGAAATACATTAGTATAGCAACTAAATCTATGTTTTGAAAATATAGTTAGTGACAAAACTGATAAATAAAAATGTAATACAGAATGAAGCCCTGGAATGAAATTAGTTTCTCTGCACGGTAAAGGCACTTTTTTTGAATAATTTTTATTTTACACTTAATTTTTAATACAAAATGTATGTAAGCTAGTGTATATGCATTTGTTGGCAGGAATAGGGTTAAAGGGACACTGTAAGCACCCAGACTACTTCAGTTAATTGAAGTGGTCTGGGTGCTGTGACCCTTTGGTACTTAGTGCTGCAATGTAAAACATTGCAGTTCCAGAGAACTGCAATGCTTACATTGCAGCTCTAAGTCTGCCTGATGTGGCCGTCTACTAGAGGGCTTCCGAAATCTAAACAGACCTTTAGTCCGTTATCTGACGCTAGACGTCCTCACGAACCTCCAGCGTCATATTTTCCCCATAAGAAAGCATTGAATAATGCTTTCCTATAGGAAGGTCTAATGCGCATACGGCCATTGCTGCGCACGCATGCTATTGCAGCGCCATTGCCGCACTGATGTCGGTGGGGGAGGAGCCTGACCCAGCGCTTAGGAACAACAGTGCTGGATTCAGGTAAGTGGCTGAAAATTTTATTTTTTTTAACCCCCTCAGCCCCACGGGAGGGAGGTGGCTATTAACCCTATAGTGCCAGGAAAAATAATGTCACAGCCTTGCTCATTAAAATTACTCAACTTTTTAACTTTCTTTTGTATTTATATGGTAATAAGTTTTTTAATACTGAGCTAGTTCAAACTAATTTTATTAGAGAACTGGCAGAGCCATTTTTTTTTTTAATCTTGATCTGTTATATCCTCTTACAACCATCATCCAAATACTGGGGGGTTATTTGTACGGAATAAAGTTTAACAATTACATTACTTGTATTTGTTATCCCATGCCTGATCTTTACAAAAACATTGTTTGACTTAACTGCCCACCAAGCTTCGGTATTAACAGGGTTTGACAAAATGAAACCTTTCTAATTATGATTTTCTTTTGGTTATACAAATACCTTTACAAAGGTGTCCCCAATTATCTTTCTTTTCTCTTCAGGGTTTGTGGTCATGTTAAGGGTCTTACTGATTCTTTTACGTGGTGTCCGGTCTTCATCTGATATTGGCAATGTTGTTGTTCCATTGTAAAAAGAGTGTGCTGCATTCACAACTGTGAAGACATAGCATGAACACTGTAATTAAAGTTCTGGACATTCACTTGCAAAACCGACATTAGAAGAAGTAAATCATTGCAATATGCCAAACGTGAATAAAAAAATAAAAAATATTTTTTTAAAACAAACAAAGTACTCTCTGCAATATAGGAGTGCTTAAAGAACCACTATAGGCACCCAGACCACTTCAGCTTAATGAAGTGGTCTGGGTGCCAGGTCCATCTAGGTTTAACCCTTTCTGCTGTAAACATAGCAGTTTCAAAGAAACTGCTATGTTTACAAATGTGCTAATCCAGCCTCTAGTGGCTGTCTCATTGACAGCCGCTAGAGGCGCTTCTCACCGTGATTCAGAATGCTTTCCTATGGACTGGCTGAATGCGCGCGTGGCTCTAGAGGGAATTCAGTGTTCATAGAACATGAAAAGTGTTTTAAAACGACGCTGGACGTCCTCACGCTATGTGAGGACCTCCAGCGTCGCCGAAATCCCCATGGGAAAGCATTGTATAATGCTTGCCAATGGGGAGGTCTAATGCGCATGCGTGACGTCAGCGGGGGAGGTGCATTGGCGGGGCCTGACCCAGTGCCGAGGTAAGTCACTGAACCTCTTAAGCAACTTGGGATGGGGGGGTGGGAGGGAGAGGGGCAATAGAAGATCCTGCAATGCCAAGAAAACGAATGTTTTCCTGGCACTTGAGAATCCCTTTAACTACACACAAAACCATAGGTAGAAGATAGTGTACTGCGTAGCTACCATTAGAGCATAAAGTGAAGAGCTAAAAAGAAACACTTAATCTAATGTACTAAGCAGAGTCTAAACAAAACAAAAAAAAAAAACCACCAATATGGTGCAATATAGTCTAAGTATGTATATACAATCTGGTGCTGCACATTTACATATTATAGAGCCAGATAGGACAGGCTCAGATCACATAGGTAAGTGTGTCCTCAGGTGAGACACACCCTCTACTAACTGATCTGAGCCACTCTCCTTTTGGTTTAGCCTCTGCTGTATAGTGATCATTTGCATTGATTGTAGTTTTAGCCACTCTATATAGTACACTATTTAAAAAATTAATAAAATGTTAACTTAAATCATGGTCATATAACAAATGTGGTCAGTCAGTAATAATGAACAGTGTACACACACACACACGTTTAAAATGCACTTTAACAAACCTCATTCAGCACCATTATAGACTCCTCATGAGAAAGTATCAAGAGTGATAACTTTTGCCCAAAGTGCTTCTGACGGAGCTGTGGCAGCACTGATGCCCCCATAATCCCTTCATTAAGCTGAAGTAAAGTGATTTGGGGGTTTTGACTGTCCCATTAATCTATTTCTGTGGGGAATTACTCTAGATACTCAAATGCAAGAGTACCTTTTATACGCACGCAATGTGTGTGTGTATATATATATATATATATATATATATATGGGTTATTGATAATAACTATGAGCCGTTTCAAGGTAACTGGATCCAAAAAATTAAGGAAATTCAGTAACAAGTTGATCACGGTTCGGGTCGGTATGGTCTGGTACTCTATTTTGAGTGTTTCCATTATGAAAGTAGCACATACAACCGAACCAAACCGCACCATTCCTGAGCCCCCTTCAGATGTAAGTCCATAGGAAATGGTACAATACGGTTAGGGCGAAAATACTGGCGCCACACTATACAATCCATTGATTGGCGGACAGGAAAAGGTCAACGCTCACGACAAATGACACGCTAGGCATTTGGTCTAAACCCCGCATGCCCCCTGGCGGTCCAACTTGCAGTGGAAACGCTCATCTGAATAGGCTGGACCATTCTAACCCTTCTGAACCATACTGCTCAGTGGAAACGAGGCATAAGTGGCAGAATTAGCAAAGCCGCAGTCAACTTTGTGTGTACGGCAAATACGGCTGAAATAACTTCATTTTCTTTTGTAAATAGCCATTTAACACGGCACATTTACAGCTGAAACGGATTTGGACCACTGAATGCCACGTGGCTGCCATAAGACATTGTTTAACACCTACTAGAAACTTTTGTTCCTTTACACAAAAAATTAAATAAAATTCAGCAGCTCTATTTTTTTATTTCTTCTAAAACTGAAAATTATTTGGAAGTATTTGTTGTGTATGTCAAATACAAGCAAAATTAAACAGTTACCCTGATTGTAAGGAAAGGCTTAAATGTGGATTTCATTTTCATAAATGAGGAATATAAGAAAGGAAAACAAACTCAAAAACAACTTTTAGCCCAACATAGATATTATGGAGTTCAAATTATATAAAATAAACTAACCTTTGACTTGGATTCCCAGCTTTTTGAGAGCTTCTTCCACTGACTGACTCTCTCTTTTCCGCATGAATCCATTGTCTATATGCACAGCAATAACCTGATCTTTATTTAAGGCTTTGTTCAGGAGAGCTGTGCATACTGTTGAATCCACTCCACCACTCAACAAAACCTGCAAAATACAGTTAAGAAAAAATAAATAAAAATAAATTAACTAAGCCTTAAACAAAAAAAACAAAAATCAACCAACTAATAAATAAAAAACCTACTCTTTTGAGAAACTATTCTTATGAAATCTAGCAAAAAGCTTGTGATACATTAATAAGTGTGGTAGCATGGACAAGGAAAGCAGTACAGCCTGAAATCAATGGAAAAATGCTACATTAATACTGAATGCTGGATGTTGATGCAGTCACGTCAAACCACTCACCAGAACTTTAGAAGAGCCAACTTTTTCCTTAATGTCCCGAATGCATTCAATTTCTCGGTTTTGTACAGTAAAGGTCCCACTACAGCCAGCAACATCATACAAGAAGTTTTTTAACATTACTTTTCCATTTTCTGTTAGGCCAACCTCTGGATGGAACTGCACTCCGTAAAGCTTTTTGGCTTCGTTGGCTATTCCTTTAGAGTGTCAATAAAAAAAAAAAACACAATTAGTCGCTTCTCAAACAAATTTGAATAATGTAGCAGCATTATATTAAAGGCATTGAAATGGAATATTTAGTACAGCGATCTGCTTGCCATAATATGCATTAGAAATAGAACTTCATACAAAAGGAAATATTAATAGACAACACATTTAAAGCATACAAAAATTGGATTGAACATAATACACCGTACGCTTACATGCTCGAAACATACACACTATACTCTGAGGAAAATGAGAACGCCTATTGGCTAGAGCCTTACAACAAAGCAAACAGTAAACATTCATATCCCAATTAAGACATCAGGGAAAGTCACTACACTCCTACCCGACATTTTTAAGGAATTCCATAACTTCTACTCACAATTATACAACCTCAGACAACACCCACCTGACCCGGAAGGCATCAAAAATGTCCTATCCGAACGGCTTACCCAGACAATACCCCCCAATATCACAATATCTTTGACATGCCTATCTCAGAGGAATTTGTCATGGCTACTAAACACCTACCACTAGGAAAGAGCCCAGGGCCAGACGGATTCACAGCTAAGTATTTTAAAACCTTCTCCTCGACACTAACCAAACCCTTTGTGGAGGCTTTCAACTCCATCACAAAGCGCCACACATTACCCCAATACGCCCTAGAAGCCCATGTAACACTCATACCCAAACCAGGTAAAGACCATACAGAATGTAGAAGCTACAGACCAATTTCCTTAATAAACATAGACTTGAAAATGTTCACAAAAATTCTTGCGAACTGCCTCAGGCCTCTCCTGGTGGACCTGGTCCACTCGGACCAGGCAGGTTTCATGCCGGGGAGGGAAGCCTAAAACAATACGACCAAGTTACTTAATCTCATCTTGCAGATGGAATCAACACGCAAAGCATCATCCTAACTGTCGACGCCGAAAAGGCGTTTGACAGGGTGGACTGGTCACTGTTGAAGGCGACTATGCGAGCAATGGGTTTTGGCCCGAATTGGCTCTCCTGGATATCAGCTAACATGGGGATAAAATACGGGTAAACGGACGGCTCTCTGACACAGTACACATAGCTAATGGGACCAGGCAAGGATGCCCGCTTTCCCCTCTCCTCTTCATCTTAACACTGGAACCCTTTCTACAAGGTATCAGAGACAACCCGAACATTCAAGGCATGCCAGGGAATACAAAGTATCTGCTTTCGCAGACGACCTTTTCACACTCATCAACCCCACCTACTCAGAGAGATAGACCTATACAATCAAGTGTCCAATTTCATTACCAGTTAACGTTGGTAAAAGCGAAATTCTTCCCCTACGCATGGCAGCCACAACTAAAACAAAACTCCAATCTACATGCCCCTTCCGATGGCCATCTTCCTCAGTGAAATACCTAGGATTGCAGCTCATTACCCCACTAACAAAAGCATATGACCTCAATTACCTGCCCCTACTAGAAAGTGTCAAAAAAGACTTAAAAACATGGAACAAACCACATTTTGGATGGTTATGCACACATCCTAAAAATTACTATTCTCCTGAAATTTTTATACATACTACAAACACTTCCCATTAAACTTCCATCCACACCAATCGCATCCTTTCGACCTTCCTATGGGCAGGGAAACATCCTAGGATCCAATACAAACTTCTCACGAGAAATAAAGAACAGGGTGGCCTAGGATTACCCGACATAGAAATATACCACAGAGCCACAATACTCACGCAAATATACGAGTGGACACGCCCACACAACCAGAAACAATGGGTGCAAATCGAAGAACAAAGCTTCAAGGTCCCCATCCACACAGTGCCGTGGTACGAATCCGGCACGGACCTACTGACCCCACCTCACACGACACATCCCACCATACTCCCCACCTTAAAATATTGGACCACCCTCAAGACGGGAAACGCAATAGCACCACACCCTTCTCCCCTATTCCCAATAACAGGGAACCCACAATTCACACCAGGACTACATCATACCACATTCCAAGGCTTCACAAACGAGCCAGGACAACTATGTCTGCTAGACGTCATAAATGATAAAGGAATCATCCCATATTCAGAAATAGTACCCAAGCCCAAAAGGTCAGCGATGCGGAGATAAATATACACAACTAACGCACTTCATTCACAACCTCACCTCCTTCATGGATCCAGACACCTCACAGCATTCGAAACAATTACATCCCCCAGTCGGTATAAAAGAGACACCTTTCTACATTCTACAAACTCTTGCGGACAGAACCGAAAGAGCATCTCCCAGACTTTAAAAAATCATGGGAAAATGATCTACATATCACATTCACTCCTGATGAATGGGGAAGGATATTTACAAAACGTCTTCAAATCACCCATGAAAGCAACTACAAACGCATAGCCGCTGGCATTTTACTCTCACCCGAATACATACATTTTTCCCAGATGCAAATCCACAGAAGGGAATACGGGTCACATCTGGTGGTCTTGCAGTATCATACAGGAATACTGGGGGGAAATAACCACCTTAATAACAGCAATCACGGGATACAAAATCCCACAGACACCACAAAACACTAATATTCCTGCTCTATCCAACCCCACTAAGTAAACCACTAAGTACCTTACTGAACCACCTCCTCACAGCGGCAAATAACCTGATTTCGACTAAATGGAAACAGACCAAACCTCCGACTATCAGAGAATGGATTTCCAAAGTAGACTCCATCAGAACAATGGAGGAACTCTCCTATACACATACACACATATATGGGGTATTCACCAAGACGTGGTCTCCGTGGGATAAGTTCCTAAGAGAAACCTGAGACTTTGGGTAATTACATACCCCCAAACACTCAATATTCATTAAACTACAAATGACCATCACAACTACACAAGATGTCTACGAATAAAACGAATGTATGATATAAATGTCTTTCATGTGAATAATTCAAAGGTTACTAATCACCATGTATGTCTCCACTGTTTTACTGTATAACAAATTGTCTATATAACTAAGCCAATGGAAATGTATAACATGTTATTATACACTGCTACTGTCTGTACTTTGAAAATAGTTTCAAATAAAAACTTTGAAAAAAAAAGTTTTAAAAAAACCACGAAACTCAATTTTAATTAAAAAGTAAAAAAAAAAAATTGTATTGAACATTAAAATCATGAATACATGAGCATCCACATTTTAGCTGCAAAGTGTTTTCATATAAGCAACATCTTCCAATGGGTGATAAAGAATTATGTCCAGTCTAAATATTGTCAAATATCCTTTACAGAAGTTTAGAAAAGGTGTAAAGGAAAGAAGTGACTGGCTTCACTCTGTTCCAGTGTGCTAGCAATGCTTTAGGGGTCACACATGATGTTTTCCCTATTTGGGTAACTGTCCTCAAGCATGGCAAATCCAAGAGAACTGTGGGAAGAATAAGGGTGATCTGAATGTGGGTGTCACAGATGTGCAACACTCACTTCTGTGAGGATACTATAGCACTGGAGCAATGTGGAAGGATCACAAAAAAAAAAAAAAGACGACAAATGTACTGTATCCTCTTATTGGGTCATCAGGGTTAAACTAAAGCTGAACAAGTGTTCTTGATAGTTTCAATTACACATTTATAAAATAAGTAATTAGTTGTGTTATATCTGGAAATGGGTGCAAAGTGTTAAAAAGTGGGTGCAAAGTGTTAAATCTCCCACTTACATGACCTGAGGTAACAAGCTACATACCGGCTACTATGTTTCCAGATTGTGCAACAACTTTAAAGCCATCAGCCACTTTGTCTACACTGTCTCCATGGGTCAGCAGCACTACTTCCTCTTTTTGCAGGCCCCTGAAAGGACAAAATTAACAGAAGAGGACATTTTTAGCAGAAATCTCACAATATGAGTTGATATTTAACAGCTTAGTCGTTTACAGTGACTGCCACATTGCTTTGTTAAAGAAACATTCCAATAAATATATTAACAAATGAAAAACTATTAAAGGAATACTATAGGGTCAGTAATACAACCATGTATTCATGACCCTATAGGGCTAAACCCACCATTAAAAGGGACACTAGTCACCTGAACAACTTCAGCTTAATGAGGTTGTTCAGGTGAGAACTATAGCTCCCTGCAGCCTCTCTCATGTAAACACTGTATTTTCTGAGAAAATACAGTGTTTACATTGAAAGCTAGGAACACCTCCAGTTGCAGTCACTCAGTGAACCAGAGGGACTTCGGAGTTGATGGAGGCATAATATGCCTCCATCCACTCAGATCTGCTGTCAGCAGAGCACAGGGCAGCACTGTGCACAGCATCCTGTGATTCAGTATCTCCTCCCTCTGCATGCAGACACTGAACTTTCCTCATAGAGATTCATTGATTCAATTCATCTCTATGAGGAGATGCTGATTGACCAGGGCTGTGTTTGAATCATGCTGGCTCTGCCCCTGATCTGCCTCTTTGTCAGTCTCAGCCAATCCTATGGGGAAGCACTGTAATTGGATCAGGCTACCACATGTCAGCAGACTGCTTGTTTTTCTGAGTCTAACAGCATACAGCTTCAGGCTTGAATACAGTAAGATTTTTACTATATTTATGGAGGCATGAGGGGCCCAGGAGGGCTAGATGGTGGTGTTAACACTATAGGGTCAGGAATACACGTTTGTTTTCCTGACCCTGTAGTGATCCTTTAAGGTGGCTTGCCCCCCCCACCCCCTCCCCTCAGCCCATTTAAAAGCAAGGAAAAGTTCACTTCTTTTCTCCATATCCAGAAGAAAATAAACTTTTTTTTTTTTTTTTTTAAATCCGTTAAATCTAGCTAAAAAAATAAATGTAGCAAACAATGGCATGCCATTATGTATTATATTTGTATGTGTACCTACAAAATAACACAAAATAAGTATTTTGCTAAAGAAGCACTGCCACTTTCCTGGTTTTGTTTTGAAATAAATCCTTTTTGAGAGTCTTTCACCTTTTTTCAGTTAATTAGTTGTATGTGAGATGACGTTGGGGCTGCTTTTTTATTGGGAGTATGATCTTTTGCCTTTGGCAGAGCTTTAGTAAAGTTACATTCCAGTTGGTAAGCTTATTTATCCACAATCCATCAAAAGAATTCCACAGAAGAACAAAACAGCATGACATCATGGATTGAGGAGAACAAAACACAGAGACAGCACAATCAAAAAAAGAAAATATGAAGGCATGCAGCCAGTATAGACATTAAGCTACATGGGGCAAAAGCAAAGTAAAACTGAAACCGGGAGGGGGAGGGATAAAAATAAAATAAAAACACACCAGCACCACTTTAAAGAGGCACTGTAACTTCGTCTCATTGAAGTGGTTATAATGTCTGGGTCCTCTGGCACAATTCTTCCATTTAGCATTCAACTATTTTTACAAAGAGAGTCCCATCCCCTCTGTGCTGGGGGTAACTAGCCTGAGCAGCAAAGGGCTGCTTGTGATAGGTTGAAAGCAGTCAGCTGAGACTGAGCCCCCTCAGGTAGGAATCAGTATGGCTAGAAGTGTGTAATAAATAAATAAATAACTATTTAGTAGATATGCTCCAAGGAAAAAATGCATGAATTTAATTATGCATATTTTCTCAAGTGGGTATATTTAAAAAAAAATTGCTTAATGAAGCAGTTTTGGTGGAAAAAAAAAAGTGCCCCTGTAGTTTCACTGCTCAATTCTCTGCCATTTAGGAGTTATATCCCTTTGTCTATGCATCCTTAGTCACACCTCCCTGTATGTGACTTAAACAGCATAAACACTCCTTGTAAAAAAAAAAAAAAAAAAAAGAGATCCAATTTTAAAATTTCCTATATTGCGCAGTCTGTAATCTAGAATTTCTTATCTGCTGCACTGTTAAAAGCCTTCTAGACACTGCAGGAGCATCTTGTATGTGATTAAAGTTCAGTTTACAAAGCAGGAGATAAAAACTTCTAAACTTCTGTTTGAAAGGTAAACCATTTCTCATGCAGGCTATATCAGTTAAAGTCAGGGGAGCTGTCGCTAGAGCTGCATTTACAGAAACAAAAATTATTTAACTCCTAAATGGCAGAGAATTGAGCAGTGAGACTGACAGGGCATGATCTACACACCCAAACTGTTGTATTAAGCAAAAGTTGTTTTACCTATAATATTGTTAAACATCCTAAAATATTAGACCATTAAGTCTTGTGTTAGAAAACACCTACCGGAACAGAGAACATGTATTATCAATAGTGATATTGAAGACCCCATCTTCTCTCACATTCTTCTTATGAACAGTGCCACCAAACACTTTGTTCATCATCTATATAAAAACGACAAAAAAAACCAAAAACACGTTACAGAAATATATATGCATTTGTAGGAAAAAAGCAACAAAAAAGGATTTGAAATAAAAACTTGTTTGAAGAGTTCCTGTCAAAGTAGCACAGATGCTTTAAGGTTTGGTGAAGCCCATAAGAAAAACCAAAAACACTGGTTCTACTTACTACTTTATGTTTTTCAAGGAGCTTTACCTACATGGTTTTTCAGTGCACTGTAGTGGTTATGGTGCTTGAAGTGTTTCTCTAAGGAAACATTCCACATATAAAAAGCACTACAGTGCTCTGCAGCAGTTAAGGTTGCATGAATCCCCTGACACCATCTGACAGTAAGCTGTTAAACATTTATCTTTGATATCATTTGAAACAATCAAGATAAATAAATAAGAGAGAAATCTATTGGGCTGCAGATTTAAATAAAATCTTTATTGAGAAACTTTGAGATATAAAAATATAAAATGATTACCACAAAGGAGACAAACTGGAATATCTGCATTAAAAAGGAAATATGTAAACTAGGAATACATTTATGGTAATTGGAGGAGAGAAAGGGCAAAAGGGAAACGCTTATAATGAAAGTCTGAGAAACTAATAGTATAACAAAACTAAAAATGCCCAGTAAGATTCTAAGGGATCCAAACTGCCGTTAAAGGAAAAGAAAAGAAAAGCTTACTTGCATGCAAACTGGACGGACTGAGAGGAGAAAAAGACAAAAGGAGTCTGGAAACAGAGAAGAAGGTACTCCACTATTAACCTCCCCTCTAGAAACCATCACCAAGGGGGCATAGAGACAGTCTAAAGACGCCCTTCCCAGGTAAAGTAATTGGAGGATAATTCTGTCTGATAGGCTTATTGTTAAAGAGATGGAAAAATAAACTGGAAAATACAGTAAAAAAATGAAAATACTGGATTAATAAGAGTGTAACTAATAACCCTACCATGTTAGGAGCCCTATTAGAAAAATTACCAACACTGGTACAGGGGGCCAATCGAAAGACTGGCAAAAAGGGGTGCCCAATGTCAAGCACTACCCGTAGGTAGAGTGAGGATAGGGTGGGGGGGATGGAGGTTTGAACGGTAGATGTCAAAATTAGGTTTTGTTTCAGAGTTCTACAATGTTCAGTTGAGACACACTCTCCTCTCCCTTGTTGCAGATTTGCAGTTAGCGAGTCCTCAGAAAATCCACATTGATTTGATTCTTATTTAGTGAAAGTATACATCACCAAGAAGGTGAAGACAGGGTAGTTATTACCCAATTTCAGGGAAATTTCGAATGTGTTGAGTTTCACTAAATGTAAACTTCCAAAAAAAAAAAAAAAAAAAGGAAGTACTTTAAAATATTGTTCTAAAGGTAAACAACCTGCTTTATTTACATTAAAGTGTTTCAATTTATAAGCATGGCAGATGATACAAATATGGTAAGTACTAAAACAAAATCATATGAAAGGGGAGAAGAAAAAGCCCTCATTCAGGCCTTGTGGGTTCAATAATGGTGGTTGTTTACATTAGTCTATTTAGTTTATCAGACTTTCATTTAAAAAAATTTACTCTAGCCCTTTAACCCCTTAAGGACCAAACTTCTGGAATAAAAGGGAATTATGACATGTCACACGTCATGTGTCCTTAAGGGGTTAACTCCCCCAGATACAGTGTTTACGTTTTACCTTACCTTTTATGCAGAAATGCCCATTTGTCTACTTTTTTTGTGTTTACTGTTGTTTCTTATACTAAAATAATAGTTTCCTTGAACCTTTTTCTATTTAAATTTGCAGCTCAATGAGCTATTCAGGATTTAACCAATCATTTTGTTTTTTTTATTTATCTTGATTGGTTCACACAAGGGTTGAAGCCCATCCCTCTAGGGCTGTAGACTCTAGCCACTACTGTTCATAATTTTTTCATTTGATATCATGTGATTTTTAGTTTTTGTAATGGAGCTCTTACGTTTTAATAATTTATACTTCACAGACAAACCAGAGAACAACATAAAGTTTACAACAACTTCAGAGTACCAACACTGATAAGGAATAATTAACCAAGAATTTTATAAACTATAGAAAGACTATATTAATACTATAATGTATACCTGCATGCCATAGCATATTCCAAGGACAGGTTTGCCAATGGCAAATATTGCAGAGTCAAACCAAGGGGCATCCTCAGCGTAAACAGAATTTGGTCCTCCAGATATGATGATTGCTCTGTAGGGTAAAACAAAAGAGCACATGAGATGAGCTTTACCTTGTATATTATCTCATGCTTCTGTGTCCCTATGTCCATATTTTATGTAATGTGAAAACATTAAAACACTATTCTTGGTTAAAAACAAACAAGACAAAAAAAAAAAAAACACACAGTATGATAAAAGTATACAAACAGTACAGGTATGGGTAGCATTCCAGCTGCAGATATGTAGCTTTATGACATGTGCCCATATGAAGAACAAACCAAAAAATAATGCAGAATTCTCATGTATACCAGATACATTAACAACAAAAAATTCATTTGTACAAATAAAGAATGGAACAGATTTGGTCCTATATATCTGGGTGAAATTTCAGATCTACTTCAATATCAGTCTTTCTAAAGCATTTCAGTGCCAACCATGCAACGCCTGCCGATGAATTTGCTCAATTTGGAAAGCCCTTTGCAGAACATATACATTGAATAGCATAAATGAAGCATAAAAAGCAGGTCTTACCGGAATCCATGCTCTCGAATGGCAAAAGCTGGTGTTTCTAGTGGAAATATTTCGGATTGAACAAAGAACTCCCTTACACGCCGATCGATGACTTTGCCATACTGAGCTCCAGCATCTAAAATCACAATAGCTCCCTCGTAGCGATGCAGGCCATCCTTTACTTCTGCATCTGTTTTATCCAACTAAAAAGAAAAATAATCATAAAAATATATAGCATGAACTTAAAAGGTTATCCTTTTGACAGAATATTGCATATCCAAACTCAAGAAATGTACTCTGAAATGTTACAAACGCAATGCCAATCAGTTATTGCAATAAATGACTTAGTTAAAGTTTCAGAAAGACAGTTACAAACCTTCATTGTTTTTAAACGAAAGGTTCATAGAACACTGCAGGAAATTACATAAGGTATCAACTGCATCTTAGTACAAAGCTAACTGAAACTACATAGACACAAAGTGAAGCATGTGACTAAAAAAAATGGTAATTATAAGGGGAGGTTTTTAACAAACCAGTGATTGTTCAAGGTTTTATCACATGCTGCAAATTAAAATGTAGAGAAATTAAATTATATACCGCTACCAAGACCCATTGACAAAACAGGATGGTGCAACGCATGCTTGTCACATGGCAAAACAACAAATATTGGATAAAGCTCATTTAGGGTCTTCAACCCCTTAAGGACCAAACTTCTGGAATAAAAGGGAATCATGACATGTCACACATCCTTAAGGGGTTAAATGATTTTAACAGATGTCAACGTGGCAAAACACACAATGGTCATTATGATTAAAACACAGGGGTTATAGGTTTGTTTTTTTATGTAAAAATAAATCAAACCCAATTGGCTAGACTGAAGGCATTTCATGAAGACATAGAAAATTAAAGTAATTTTTTTGTGCATTACAATAGAAATAGTCAGATCTGTTACAGTGAAATATATCCGCTTTCTGGGGGTTTTCTAACCCTGTTAATGGCTCTTAACATAAAAAAATTAATTGTGCCAAGTGCAATGGTTTACTACATATGACCCACGTAATGAATTAAGGGAATGAGAAAACTTTCGGTGTGTCAATCCAAAGTGAAATTAGCCGAATCAAAACCAACAGCAGCTCACAAAGATTTCAACTTTACTGAATGTTTTATAAATTGCTGGGGAAGTACTTGACTTGTGCTTGAGCGAAGTTAAGTGCCTCTAATTAACATCACAGGGACCTTTGCTTATGCTTCAAACCAAGGAGAAATCAAGCACACCTGAATTAGTACAAGATTTATGTTAAAACCGTATAAATTGACGGAATTCATTCACTAGGTTCTAATAAACCAAAATAGGGTTTGATGTACAACCCCTACCTTAAAGGATCACTGCCCACACATACAGCATTTCAGCTTGCGTTTAAGTGCAATTCCTGAAAGTACTTATTTCTTTAAGAAATCTGCACTTTTACAAATATAGTAAACACCTACCTGGTTGTCTGCTTTCTTCCACCTTCTGTTTGCTCCATTGAGCTAACAGAAGTAAAGGCCTACCTTTTCCCACAAGTGCCATCAAATGCACGTTCAGAGTACTCCATTGTACCTGGAAGCTCAATAATTGTTTTGCAAGATCAGAATATAGTATTGCAGGAATTAAAAAGCAAAATGTCTGCTCCTGCATGTGCAAACTCAGTCAATGAATGGGATAGTGAAAGGTTTGCAGATGAATGAGACCATGATTTGACTGAATCACACAGAGTACCTATTGCCTCAAGGGAAGTTGTGGGTGCACACAATAATAGGGTGTTCCATCCAAATAGAATTGAAGATGGAAGAATTGAGGCAGCTACATCCCCTCTCTCGCCCAGAACATGTCTATTCCCTTCTACAGGAGAGAAGAACAGTACAGGAAAACAACAACACACACACACACTGATCTCTGCAACTCAGGTTAACTGCCGGTAAGGTCACTCAATTGAGAATATGTACTCCCAGACTATCAGACGAGCGGAACTGACACTTATATAAACCATAACATGCTGCTGGCAACAAAATATTGTAATTGTCAAAACAGACGTCTAATCACGAAATCTGAACACCAATAAGTAGGTAGAGAGTAGAGTTGAGTGGACACCTGGATGTACGGGTCCAGCGGATTCGACCGAACTTTGAAAAAAAGTCAGGGTTCATGAGCGAACCCCATTGAAGTAAATGGGGACCCGAACTTTTGGCCACAGAAATGCCTCTAAAAAAGTCCTAGAGGGCTGCAAAAGGAAGTAAAATGGGTGTAAGATTAGGACAAGTGCGCTGCAAACAAATGTGTCTCGGTCCCTGTCACCGGGCTACAAAACTGTCAAATCGGTTATGGTTCTTTTTATCGCTTCAACTGTTACTTGGATAACTGTGGGAATTCTAAAGATAATACATGCCGACGAGCACTAGGGGACTGCCGCTCCACTTTTGCACCCTGCTCCCTCTTATGCTGCGCTGGTGCCTCTGTGCGACCAACGCCTCTTCCTCCAAACTGCACACGTCACTCGCATGACCCTGATTCCATGTGGGGTCTAGGACCTCATCATCCTCCACATCATCTTCCACCCACTCCTCAACCCTGCCCTCCTTGCCAGTATGCACACTGTAGAAAGCCACAGCAGTTGACACCTGTGTTTTTCCAGCATGTAAGGTCTGCAAAGGACATATGGAAATGGTTTTAGAATTGTATCCAGGCAACAGTTTTCCCTATAAACTGACCTCTCAGTTTGACTTGTAAGGGTAGTGCCCTAGAATTACAATATTGTTTAAGTACCTCTTAGCTATTGATAACTGGTTTAAATATAGCAGCTTGTTATCTGGTAGTTTCTAGTGTAGAAAACAGATTGAGATTTTCTATCACTTAGATCAGTGTAACAAGTGTTGTAGGTGTGAAACAATATTACAAGTGACCGATGTAGTAAATTCGAATCAAAGTTACGCTTCGATTTGACTCTCAGATATGAAGTGCATGCCCCAAAATGTACTATTTAGCAGATTAGCACCCATAAAATTAGAAGTTTTTGACGCTTCTATTTGACTCTCACATATGAAGTGCACCCCACTAATGTACTTTTCAGCACCCCAAAAAACAAATTGACGTTTTAAAACTCTGATGTAACCACAGTATTTGACGCTTCTATTTGACTCTCAGATATGAAGTGCACCGCACTAATGTACTAGTTTGCAGAATTCTTTCCTAAGCTCTCCCTATCAGCGGCAGCATCCTCTCCCTACACTAATAAGACCTCATGTGCGTGTGGTGCTACGCGACTCCAGCTTATATATAGAGGCTGGGTCACATGCTGCACTGGCCAATCACAGCCATGCCTTTAGTAGGCATGGCTGTGATGGCTTCTAAGGGCACACGAGTCAAACGCTTGTTGATTGGTTGCCCTGCAGCCTTTGAAAACGCACCATTAAATCGCCAACACCAACCCGAACATACAGTGATATGTTCAAAAATGACGAAATAGTTAAAGGTATTTCCTTGCGTAAATCAAAAGTCTTATGAGTGAAAGCTCCATTTTAAATGTCCGCGCAAATTCATTAGGTACGCCCCTCTAGATGGGTCATCCAATTCCAGTAAAAGAGGAGCGTGTTTAGGGAAGGTGATTCTCTCTAAACAATACAGCGTGGAAGAAATGAATGTAAACAACTGTTCTGAGCAATCCTAAAGATCCATACCTGTTAAACATCACAGCTTACTGTAATGAGATCTGTCCATATACGATACACTGCTGTCTCGAGATTATTCAATATAGAGGAGGTAATAACTCTCCACTGGACATCAAAATGACATTAAAGGAGCGCAAAGATCCGCTCGCTCAGTGTAAAAGATAATATTGCAGATCATAAAGAGATACAAATATAAAGACACAAAAGACCTAGAGTACTCAATAGGAAAATTATATTCAACATTTCAATTCCAATCATTGCGTCAATTTTATGTTGCAATAAAAAGTATCTCAGCTTGAAAAACTTATTTATCTATATTGATAAAAAAAAAATTTTTAAAAAATTATTAGATACTAAAGGTTACATTAGAGTTGCCTACTAGTTATACTCTGGAGTCAATAAAATGAAAAAAACAGGAGACAACAAGATAAATAAAAATAATCAAGTGAAAAAAAATGTGACCATGAAAATACCCAATAAAAACTTACTCTATATATTTATTTTTATGATGGTTTAATTGACTAAACTGGATCCTTATTAAACTTAAAGACAGATTCTAGACAAACTATGTATCCAGAGGAATTAGTGCAAGAATGGAGTATATGTAAACCCTTCATTCAGATCCAAAAGTCTTTAATGTATAGATCCAGAAAGACTCCCTTTGTTTTAAGAGGCGGTCCAAATCCCCTCCTCTTTGATTTTTTTATATTATTGATATTAATAGCAAGATTTTTGCTCCTTTATGTACAAAAATTAGTGCTCCTTAAAATTGTGATGTCAGTAAAAATGATATAGGACCACTCCACACCCCAAAAGCACTTCAGTTTATAGATGTTTTTCTTTTAACCCAGTAATACTAGTATTCCATGATTGACATCTGTGACCTGACACACCCCAGAATTACAAAACTCCAGTGACCAAAAGCAAGTTTTTTTTTGTTTTTGTTTTTTAAAATATATTCTATGCTGTTGATGAGAAGAATTATAACAGAAATAATATAATTTTATTATAAACTATGGGAATTGAGCTAGTCAGTCACATCATTGGGACTTATGATGTCATTTGATTATCATTGCGTTTTATTTTCATTAGTGTTATGTTAGTAAGAAATTATGTGCAGTTTTTTTACACATATACATACATACATGCATACACACACACACAACGTGTGGGAACTGATTTTTTTCCATAAGAGCACCCAGTACTTTTTATACCACATTATTTCTCACCCACTTTCAGTTGAGCTTTTCTTATAATTATATATTCAAGAAATTACATCACAGCCTTAGATGCCAGGCCAAGAAAGAGTGAAATCCCTTAAAGTGTCAAACTAGTAATCTTAACTCTATGCGGTGGTCGTGTCACAACTCAATTCCATATTTTTGTTTCAGCATATATGAATGAATACATTATCATGGTTCTCTTGCAACATAATGTATATAACAATATGTGTTGGGGAAGATGTTATTTACTCATAGGTGTAGGAGAATGGTTGCATGATGGGAATGTGAGCTTAGGGTAATACCTGGATGGAAATGAACACAAGGGATGCTGATAAATATTATTGCCATGATTATTTATATAGACAAGGTTTTAAAATAAATAGAGAGAGATGTGTGTACTAATGGGATTTATGCATAATCAGTCTAATGTGTGACCAGTAAGGGCCACAAGAGGGTTGACTGTTACACTATTGAATGGCTAATTTTATAAACCCTTTGCTTTATGTTGTATAAATGGAATATATCAAAATGTGCGTGAATGGGAGTATGCATGATGGCTGTAGGGCAATGGTATGGCAAGATAAACAGGTTTTATCTATACTGCTGTCCACACAACCCAAGGGACAATGGAGATGTTTGACGATAACCTTGCTGAGATTCCAGAGGGTCACATATGGTATTTAGGTATGAGAAAGACCCCAGGGGCATGTTAGGTGTGTGTTGTGTAGCCAAAGGTCAGGAAGGAAACTGCGATCCCAGGAACCATCCAATTACGATGGTGCCATGTTAAATCTAGTGTCTGTCAATTGTACATCTAGGGAACTGTTCGGTAAGACATAGAAGGGACAGGGAGGAGAGAACATCAGACCCCAGTAGATCTCAAAGAAAAGGTAGCTATATATGATCATGCAGGAGTTACATTTGTAAATAGAAGTATAGATATGTTATAAATTCATGTTTTATTGTTGTGGATTATTGTATTGTAATTTGTATTGTTTGAATTACGGAATGTTTAAGTAAATTAATTGATTCATTATGACCAACGTTGTGGATTCTTGGATATTCTGTTGCTGTATATTTTGATAGATTCTGGTTAAATAAAGTAGCAGCTTTCAAGTAGAAATCCAATAAGAGAGAAATTTAAAACAGGAATTATGTCATTAATAAGCCAGAGGATTTGTCTATCAGTGCATGTATAAATACATTCATAAATTTATTGTCTTGAAAAATCCTTAGTTTAAAATTTAACCCCTTAAGGACACATGACGGAAATATTCCGTCATGACTCCCTTTTATTTCAGAAGTTGTGTCCTTAAGGGGTTAAGATGTTCAACAGATTTAGTAAGAAATCTGCTTTTTCATTTTAAGTTAATTTTAATAGGATGACGAATGACCTGTGAAAATGCATTATAAAATGTAGGCATTCAATGATTTTGCTTGCTTTCACTATGGGTAGACCTTAATGAAACATTTAGTTTGTCAGTGTAATTTAACCTTTCATTACTATGACAGATATTCAGGTTTAAGCTCATTTCTAGGTGTGGTGTAAGCCAAGCATGTATGGATGGATGGATGGATGCTTTATTGCATTCTGGATTCTTACTTTCTACAATTCTACCCCTGGCAGCTGGCAATGTCTCTCCAAACCCTGGTCCTGCATCTACCCACCTACCTTGTGACCACCCTTGAAACCTCTCCAATCTTATAACTATCCCATGTAACTATCCCTTTAAGCCCTCCTTCCATTCTGCCCTCTGGAATGCACGCTCAGTGGGCAACATAATCTACTTCCATCCATGATGCATTCCTCTCACACTCCCTTAACTTACTTGCTGTAACTGAAACTTGGCTCTCTCCGTCTGACACAGCTACCCCTGCCTCATTATCCTATGGTGGTCTACAATTTACACACAACCCAAGACAGACTGATTTTCCTCTCTAGTGGTCCTCTCACACCTCACCCCTTTGTCAGTCCTTATATTGGCTTCTTGTATGTTATAGGAGTCAATTCAAAATGCTAACCCATACCAATAAAGCACTGACCAATTCTAGCCCCTTATATCTTCACGTAGGTATTCCCCTTCTCGGTCTCTCCGCTCTGCCCGTGACCTTCTACTGTCCACTACTCGCACCCGTATGGCCAACTCACGCTTGCAGGACATCTTGCGGGGGGCTCCCTTTCTATGGAACAGCCTGCCTACCGCCATCAGACTCTCCCATAGTCTTCAATCGTTTAAAAAGTGCCTTAAAATCCATCTTTTTAGGAAAGCTTATGGCCTCCCAGAGTAACCTCTACCTCCTATACCTGTCTCTTGCTCTCTCCTGAAGGGCAGCACTTTACTCTCTCCTCCAGCTCTGCTTCACTCCCACCTATTTTGATTGCTATCCCCTGTCCAATTGTGTTTTACACCCTACTTCCTATAGACTATAAGCTTGTTTGAGCAGGGTTCTCTTCAACCTATCATTCCTGTAAGTTTTCTTGTAATTGTCCTATTTATAGCTAAACCCCCCTTCTAATAAGATTATAAAGCGCTACGGAATCTGTTAGCGCTATCTTAATGGCAATAATAATAATAATAAATTATTAATCTAAGTTTTTTATATATATATATATATATATATATATATATATATATATATATATATATATATACACACACACACACATCCACTTCTCAAACATATCCAGTCCTGTTTTTTTAGCATTTATTTACCTTTTTTCCCCTCCTTACTACAACCAGACTTGTGTTTTATCTGCACTGTACCATAAGTCAACTTTGAATTTAATGGGTCAATTACTATGTCAGAATTCAAAGTTGAATTGTATGTATCGTTTTTTGCTTCAGACATGAAAGAGGGAGGATCTCCCAAAATTATGTTAGTCCAAAAAATAAAAAGTTGATACAAGATACTAATTAATCTGCATCACTGGACTTACAATGCTATAATCTCATCCTTCATATGTATTTATATTGGCATTACCATTTCTAACACAGACAGAAATCCAAGTACTAATGGATCAGAAAAGAAAAAGCACACCAAAAACATTAAAAATCCATCAGGCTGATATAAATAAAATGAAGTGAAGAGAAGTAATAAAATACCCTTCCATACTATGGAAGTCATATATAGAAATTGTCACATTCACCTTTGCATCTTTTTTGTGCATGAACCATTTTCTAGTGTATAAAACTTTAATACAATTTAGTGTATTGAAACAGTTATAATATATGCTTAATACATTGGTGACTTTTCTGTAATGCTCAAAAATATTCAGTTTTTCTACTGCCTTATTCAGATTTATCTTACTATTAATTGAATTCAGAAAATAAAACATATGTATAATATGTGTAGAAAGGAGAAAGAAAAATGTAATTTGAAGGATTTATTTCCCCTTAATCAAAATGTAAGATTGAATGATGCTTAATGGGTCAATACACAACTTTCTTATATATTGGAAGAAACATTTGTGAACAGAAAAAAAAATAACCAAAAAGGAATATTTTGGCAAGCCTTAAGTGCCATGCTCAGTCTAGAAATGAGCACAATAATTTTTATAAACTTATGTATTGGGGTCCTAACACTACTAGAGTTTATTTTGTAAAGTATATACAGTATACCATAATTAATACAAAGCAAAGGTGAGCAAGACTCAAGGTGTAGCAAGCTCTGAAACACTTATGATTACACCATGTTCCAAGCATTTATATAAATCTTTAGAATGCACCTGCCTGTCTGGCTCCAAAAATCAACAAACAAAGATTACTCCTTACAAAAAAAGACTTATAAATTGACACAAATTTGTATTTATATGCACAGCAGTTGATATTTTGTCTAGAAATGATAAAAAAAAGTTACAGCATTTTATGTGAGGGTGTGTTACATGAGATTTTTGGCATTTTTCATATTACATTATACATTTGCTTTGCATTATAAATCTTGCTATGCTGAAACATAAATGTATCATATTACTATTTTAGAATTTATATAGCGCTATCAGATTCTGTAGCACTGTACAATAGGTGGACTAACAGACATTTAATTGTAACCAGACAAGTGGACGTACAGGAAAAGAGGGGTTGAGGGCCCTGCTAAATGAGCTTACATGATAGAGGGGGTGGGGTATAGTGACACAAAGAGTAAAAGTAGGGGTACGAAGTAGGTTGTTAGAAAAGTATTCAACTGAGGGCTTAGGAGGTCATTTTTGACAGTTGTCAGAGGAGTCATTGGGGACAAAGGATGGAAATCAGTTTTATTGATATGCTTTCCTGAAAAAGTTAGTTTTCAATGATTTTTTGAAGGAGTGGAGACTGGGTGAAAATCTAACGGAGAAGGGAAGGGAGTTCCACAGGAAAGGTGCAGCCTAGGAGAAGTCTTGAAGATGAGCATCGGACAGAGGGCTAGTCGTAGGTGTTCAGCAGAGTGCAGGGCACTCGATGGAACGTACTTATGTATTAGGGAGGATAGGTAGGTTGGAGCAGCTTTATGCAAGGACTTGTAAGCAAGCACCAGAATTTTAAATTGAGCCCTATATCTTACTGGTAGCCGATGTAGGGACTTTGAGTGGGGAGGTGTGGGAGGTTTGAGCGGACAGGAAAATGAGCCTCGCCGCCACATTCATTATAGACTGGAAAAATTAAAGACAATAAAAATATTGGGGGGTGAGGGAGAGAGAAAAAGAGAGAGACATACAAAATATAAATCTAGCCACATGCGTTTTATATCTTTGTTAAAGAGATATGACAGCTTTTCATAAAAAAAGAAAAAAATATATACAAAGCAAACTATGCAGTTGAATGAAACATTGTTGCCCACGTGTTGGACAGCTCATATTAGATGCAGACAGCTATCTGCACACCTTCATTCATTAGGAAAGATTAATAACTAAAACAAATGGAGAATTTAAAGTTATTCATCATTTATCTGAAAGTCAATGTAAGTCAGACAGGTACCCAGGTATAATAATCATTTCAATGAACCATAGGTGGATTATGCATGACCCAGACACTGGCAGTGATCTTTATACCCCAGAGGCCATTTAACATGTGGCTGTTATTATGGTTTAACACCCTGAGCATACAGGGGGCACCCCATGTCAGCATGGTGATTTGGGGGTGCATTACCCACATGATATCTGAGGGCTGTATGCATGCCCGGCTGCCAGGGCCAGTCCCACCAATCCTGCCTATTACTCTTGGCGTGCTGGCTGAGGGTTGTGGGAGCTGGGTGTTCTTGCTGATGCTGGCTCTCCTGTCAGGGACACACGCTGACACAAGGCCTCAGCCAGACAGAGCCCGGGCCCCCGCCATCAGCCCCCTCCCTGTCCCCCACCCCCGGTGCCGGCACTGACCTTGGAGTCTCCGTTACAGAGCGCCATGAGAGCCCGTGCTGTGGGCGGCGGGCTGCGAGTGAGGGAGGGCAGTCTGTGCAGTCAGCGCTCAGCCTCGGCGCCGGAGAGAATGGTGCTGGGGAGTGTGTGCTCCGCAGTTTGCCCCGCCCCCTGCTCCTGTCCCGCCGCCAGGGGGAGCTACAAGGCCAGGGTCGCCAGCGCCGCCATCTTGGATTCGGGATGGTAAACCCGCCTGTCAGAGAGGGCAGCGCAGGGTTACCGCGGCCGGGAGACCGACGGAGCACGTGAAATGACGTCTGGGCACCCGTCACTGGTGGCAGCGGGCCGGGCGCGGCAGAGTTCACGCCATTAGTGAAATGACTGGGCGCCCACTGTGGGCATTTCGCCCTCACTAAAGATGGCTTCCCTTACCGCGCGCTCACTGCCGAGACAAAACTTTAGGCCGCGCCCACCGCAGAGTTCAAAACACTAGAGAAAGCACTCATAGCTGTCATAGCAACTGAATACCGTCTTTATTTATTTTTTACACAGTGGTAGTAAAATATGTCTGTTATTATAGAAATACACCGTCAGAAGATGTGTTTTTAAAACACTGAGGAGGGTGGGGGGGTTACAGAGAGTGACCATACAGAATAATGGCTCCAGTGAGGAAGAGTCACTTTACTTGTGATGTATTAGATCTCTGGTGTTTAGAACTCTGACACGGCCTTTGGTTAACTCTGACAAACACTATGCAAAGAGAGTGCGGCTCGCTTCTCATTGGCTATCAGCCTGCTCAGTGTTACAGAAAAGCACCCCTGGAAACAAAACGGTAAACAGTTGGTTCTGTTTGAGTGCTGGGCCAATAGGTTAGAGAAAACCTGTTTGTACACGGAGTTTGATGAAGACGTACCGTGTGTGCAGGATGACCGGTAAATGATGGGAGTGCTGAGCTGTCAGTAAGAGGTAAGGAAGGGGAGATTGTTTTACCGATTTATAAAACGAATATCATCCAATCACATGGAAATAGAGCTTTATAATGTACAATATACATACCATGTTTACATAGTAATAATATCCCAGCCAACAGTGTACGTACATAGGGCTGCACAGTGATATCTAACAGTGTGGCTGGCTGTGCATAAAGGTAGCCATCAGCCTAAACACATAACATGCTGCAGGTAGCTCATTACTGGCTTATGGGAGTATTTAGATGTACAAGGCTAAGTATAGGCTCTGTAAGCTGGGCATGACAAAGTCAGGAGCCAGGTGGCCTTATATATTATGCAATGCATTTATTATTATTTATTATTATGTATTATTTATAAATTGTAATTTTAGTAACTTTTAAGTGTAACATTAATGGAGGGGGTTTTCTGCATATAGTTATATCATCAATACTTAAAGTATGGCTTCTATGTTTGTGAAGCCTTGCTCTACTACATTTCCCTTTTTGGGTTACAGATACAAGTATCTACCTCTTGAGCTAATAAAATTGGGGGTAATGTAACATTTATGATGTCCAATTGTCTATATTTTCTTTTATACCCAGTATCAGCTTATTATCGGCATTAGGCAGACTAGAAAACACACATAGAAATCCCCAAGTCAGGACACCCTCCTCCTCTAAATAACACTCTCTTAAAAATGTTGCCACTGAAAAGGAAGAATATTCTTTCTTATACTGAAACGGCTGTCCGCTTTTTCCATGGATCAATAAGCATATTGATTGTACAAAATGCCACATAACATTGAGTACTTTCTTTCAACATCCACCTTTTCTCAGTGTCTACAAGAATGAGGAAGTCTCATTCCATTCCCATTGAACATGTGGAAGAGATATGAAACCAGCCATTGTGGAGTGGTGGTTTTGTATTATTACAATGATGTTTATTTGATAAACAGTGCATTGAAAATAAATTTGTAGGTTTTAAACAAAAATAGGTGACTTTGGAAAGCAATAATAGATACTCTGGAAAACAGTTTGGTTAGTTTAGCCTACATTTTTCAATTCAGCTTCCATCACACAAGTCTGGTTTTTTTTTTTTTGTTTGTTTGTTTTTAGTGAATCAACCCTTATGTATGTTATGTGTAATTGATTTTAGAAAAGACACTATTTATACAAAAACAAAGGATTTGCAGTATGCATCCTCTATCTTTTTGAAGTACCCTTAATTCATTACTTGTTTAAGCGTGTATATTCATTCAAAGTAGTTATAACTCCTTTTATTTTATAAACAATTTATTATACACTTTCAGTTAATTGATGGCTATGCACTACGGTCATATCAGTAGCAGGCATTTATCCACTTCTTCTCAATCTGATTGTTATGTATTTTAGTTTTTTGTTTGATATCACAGATGTATTGACCAGACTGTCTAATAATTTTAGGCCTATCTCAGCTGCCCACTCATTCTCCAGATATACAAATTCCAACTCTAGAATAATGCATGCAGGATTATAGAGATACTTCTGGGTCATTCTTCAGCACTCCAAAGAATAAGTGGAATCAGCTTCTACGAGTCCAGTATGAAATTAGCAGACTCATCACCTTCTACCGTATATTAAATATGATCACCGGCCATGGGGTAAATGAATATAATACATAGAATGTCCCAAGGATTTCATAAATATATTTTCTTGGTGAACTGTGGGATCTTTGGGTGCTTTGAAATCATATTTATTTCCTCTGCTAAAAAAATCTAATGCTTTAAAAGATTACGTTTGTATTGCGCTTTTCTTAAACATGCTTCTGATACTTTGCTCAAAAGCCAGTTGAAGATCATGGTGCAAACTAATAGATCTTATAGGTTTTGTCACACAACATGAAATTTATAGACACTCTCTATAATTCGATTAGATTATTGTAGTAACAGTTTTCCAAAATCGTTGTAGTTATAAAAGCTCTTTCACATCCTGTGAGGACTGTGATTTGACTGAGAAATCTCAATCACTTCCTGTTCCCTGGAAAACCTGGGGATTTCCAGTAAATGTTATACCTTTTTTAATATTCTATTTCTTTGTTATTTTCAGTTTAGTTTTGGTCAAATATGCATGGATTATTATTATTAGCTTTTATATAGTTCCAACATAATCTGAAGCACTTTACAATAATCCATTGGTGATAACAATATTGACATACAAAGCAATGCTGACAGAAACAAGAGGCGTTAAGGGTCCTGCTTGAACAAGGTCACAATCTGAGATAATGTGGATGTTTCATTTTTGCTTTATCTTGGCAACAGGAGAGGATATGCTCATGTATTTTCGAACTTTGCAAAGTACTTAGCATGTGGTCTGCCTTAAGCATGAATCCTCACTCCATTTACAACAACCATGATTAACTCCACATATTTGTGTCTGTTGCGTCCAGTACGGTGTTTCCAACATTTATTTCCCTGACCATTTACTTTCCCACTCTCAAATAAATGTTGGTTTTATTTTACCATTTTTAAATGCCAAGAAAATTTCGAATCACTCTCTCATTCCTGCAATATGAATTTACTCGTTGCCAACCAAACATTACCCAACACTAGCAGTATTAAGATATTTAAAGAACTACCATGTTGCGTTACATTGTAGCATAGCTTTCATAGAACAGAACGTGCTGTGAAAATGGTTTGACAAGCAGTCAAGGTTGTGATTGACGTCACTAATGAATTCCTTTTTACATAAAGATCTTTCTCCTACTCGGCATTTAAAACAGGCTTAAAATTCCCTATTGCGACTCATTTGTATTCTGTTCCCCTCTCCCTTCCACCTTCTCCAGGACCATTAATGTCCTTATTGACCATGAATATCTGGGAAATGTTTATTGAAATGAGGCATTTGAAGCATGCAGGGAGCTAAAGTGAGCCAACCTTGACTTCTTGCTACATATTCTCTTTCTTAAAACTCACCTCACCTCTCTCCAGTTTATATGAAGGTAGGTGTGTTTTTATTTCTTCTCAACATCTAACCGTCCCATCTTTTCCCCAGGTATGTTCTTACCTCACATTTGGTATTTGCCTTTTTTGCTTTTCTTCCTTGTTTTTTCTTTTTTCTTTTTTTCATCCCTTTCTGATTCTGTCCCATTCCTTAAACTTACCCTATGCACCATCTGCCCTTTGCCACTGTTTGCAACAATCCCTTCTCGTTATCTGCAACACCATGCTTCTCTATCCGTCTGTTTTTTAATATTATATTGAATAAATGTTGTACACAGTGTGCCTAGGTTTAGCTTTTTTTGGCAGTGTTAGGCCATTGTCTTTATAAATATTTACATTAAGGGTTGTTCTCAACTTTATTTTCAGGCATAATATATCCTTGCGAAAGAAGCCAAAGAAAACATCCAGAATGTCAGGCACACATAGAGAGAGCCGGCATCGTCGGCAGAATTACCAGTATCCAGTTGCAAACCAAAGTGATCACAATCGTCATGAATATATGGAGGAAGGAGACGGAGAGGCTCTACTACAGGACTCTGATGTGACTGCACCCAGAAGGATTGCCAATTACAAGGATGAATTGGGGAATATTTTGCTCTTATTTTTCCTTTATGTTTTACAGGGAATCCCATTAGGACTAGCAGGGAGCATTCCTTTAATCCTACAGAGCAAGAATGTTAGTTACACCAATCAAGCAATTTTCAGTTTTGTGTTTTGGCCGTTCAGTCTTAAGTTGCTCTGGGCCCCACTTGTTGACTCTTTATATATTAAGAGGTTTGGTCGCAGGAAATCATGGCTGGTTCCAACACAGTACGTTTTGGGACTTTTTATGATGTATCTGTCTCGTGTAGTGGATGATCTGTTAGGTGGAGATCATGGGCCTGACATGTTCGCTTTGACTGCTACTTTCTTCTTGTTTGAATTCTTGGCTGCAACTCAGGATATTGCCGTGGATGGCTGGGCACTAACCATGCTTTCAAAACATAATGTGGGTTATGCTTCAACATGCAACTCAGTGGGACAAACTGCTGGATATTTCATGGGCAATGTACTTTTCCTCGCCCTCGAATCACCAAATTTCTGCAACAAATATTTGAGATTTACTCCGCAGCCCAAAGGATTGGTTACACTTCCAGGTAATTAGTAATTACACTCTGATGGTGCAGGAGATCAGACGTAAGGATTTCCGCTTGTAAAAATAGATATGGAGATTGCGATATATAAAAAAAAGTGGAGAGGAAGTGGAAGTGATGGGATGAGTAGGATAGTATGAATAGTGGAATAGTTAAGAGATCCAGTAACATGAGCAGGGGAGCAATTACACTGCTGAACTGACATGTGGACTCTCCATGCAAAAGTACCACTATGTTTACAAACACACTGGCACTCTGCTCCAATACTTCCCCGCATTCATGCACATACATTGACACTTTACATTAACATTCCTGCATTCACAGTCATTGGCCCAAAAAGGGAATAATCCCACTGTATTCACACACTGTCATTTAATGCCAGACGCAACATAACTGAAAACCAAATGTGCTTTACGTGCCTTTGTTGTGGTGGTGGGTATATTTTAGCACGTTAGTAACTGTAGACCTTAACATCTGAACTCCGCTGTTATACTGTTTCTGTTAATAAGCTGCTAAATCATCAGACACTTATGTAAAATTATTTGGGTACTTTAACTACCCATGAGTCCAAACCTGCTAAGCTCTCATGAATGCGAACTTGTTGCAAAAAGTGTCGACGTGCCGTATTATTTGGAAACTAAAACTATTTTAAAATGTGAGTGGGAATTCAAGGAAAGTAACAACTTGAGTTCCAACTTTGGTCATCAACACTCTTTGGTTTTATTTCAGGGTGTATTGCTGTGGTGTACGCTTCATTATTAGCAGTCAGCACAAAAGAGAGGGCAGCTACAGTTTTTAAAATAGGTGACTCTTACTTTTCATAAGAGTAAAATAAAGTGTCTGTGGCGAATAGTGACGTTGCTATGTGCAGCTGGTTAGAATGGTATTAACCTAATTGTTGAAGACAAAAATAATGTCTGTAAATTTTAGACCGTTTATAATGTACACTAGCGTTGGGCAACAGCAGCTGTGATTTGCAATATAATGTTAAATAAAGTAACATAACTTGATTTTCTAGGTCACAGTTAGTTATGCTCCACACTCTCATTATTCATAGGTCACATATTACAGCCAGTCAGTTTAACTAACTCTGTATTTCAGGCAACCATCCACTGAAGATATTTGTAAAACCATTAAAAACTTCTCAATTCACATAGTTTGTTACGCACTTTAAATTCACATGCAATAATGGCTGATTTTTGTGTGTTGTAATATCTATTTATTTGACATATCTGCCATTGCATTGTTGCTATGTGATTCTATGATGTCGCTTCTCAGATTTCCTGTTCTTCTGGGCAATAGTATTTCTTATAACCACAACACTAGTGGCAGTGCTGAAAAAAGAAAATCAGAACGAAAGAGCAGCAAGAGAGGAAACTCAGAGTGTAAAAGAAGCCTACGGTCTCCTAATAAGCATAGTGAAAATGCCGGCTGTTCTCAAATTCTGCGCTATGATCTTAACAGCCAAAGTGAGTGAACTGTGCTATATATATACAGGTACTGATCTATTTGTTTTGTAGTTGTGCAGTTGCCATGATACTATAGATACATTGGCATTTATGCCGTTTTATAAATGAGAACCATTCCCCATATTTGCTTTGTTTAGAATCCATATTAATTGTATTGTGTGGTTAACTGTGCTGGAAGCTAATGTATTTTGTGTGGCTTCTACAAATTCATAGTTGGTATGTGTTCTTTTCTCGCTAAGTGATATTGGTTTAGGAACAGGAATACCGTAGCCTCCTTGTTTCCTTGCGAGCTCACTGCCTTGTTATTATCTTTGACTGACCTCACTATTGCACCATGTATCAGCTATCTCTAAGTACTGCCATTTTCATTTAAAGCAGAAATGACACTTCCAATGAATTTTCCTATTTTGCTTATTTAACCCCTATATTTAACAAATATGCATTTATGAGTTGTGAAAAAATTAAATGTATATGAAATTCACACCTTTTTTCAAACATCAACTGGGCACCTCTGGCTCCCTGTCAATCATTGTTAAATACTTTGCCTTTACACATAGTAGTCACAGTAGCTCTGGACTTTAACAGGGTTATTCACTAAACTCAGAATTTTTGCTAGTAAAAAACATGCAAGCTGGCCTGGAAACCATTCTCCAGCTTAGTTATAGCTTCATTTTTCTATTTAAATTTAATTTCTGAAAATTCAAAGTTTAGTGAATAATTCTGAGTGCTTCACATTCTGCCCCGCCCCCATGATTGTGATTTTGTGTGGCCTGGAGTGAGAGTGCTTGACCTACACCTCTGGCAGGGACAGCCGGAGTCCCTTAACATTCATCTCTTCAAGCTAACATGTTGTCTGCCTAGATAGGTTTCATTCCTTAAAGTGCCCCCATCCTCAGGGTCCCCCTCCCACCGGGCTCTAGGGTGAGGAAGGGGTTAAACTTACCTCTTTCTCCAGCGCTGGGCGGGGAGATCTCCTCCTCGGCTGAATACGCATGCGCGGCCAGCCAGTCCATAGGAAAGCATTCTCAATGCTTTCCCATGGACGCTGGCCTATTCTCACTGTGAAAATCACAGTGAGAAGCACAAGCGCCTCTAGCGGCTGTCAATGAGACAGCCACTAGAGGCTGGATTAACCCTATTATAAACATATCAGTTTCTCTGAAACTGCTATGTTTATAGAAAAAAGGCTTAACCCTAGCTGGACCAGGCACCCAGACCACTTCATTAAGCTGAAGTGGTCTGGGTGCCTATAGTGGTCCTTTAAATTTGTCTCTTCTTTCTATCATAACATAATTAGTGGCTCTACAGCCCTTTTCACTCTCCCATTCAATTCAAATGCTTTCCTGCACTCTTACACCTGACTCTCATTGCCATGTTATTACTCTTCTGACTTTATACCTCATCTCCTCTAGATGGTAAGCTTAAGCAGGTTTCTCTCAAACTTCTTGCTTCCTGTTAACAATTGGAATTGACATTTGTCCTAAGGTGATAGGGCTTAGTGAGTTATCTGTGGTTAGACATAACCTTTAAATACTGCTGTATTATATCTTTGATAGGTTATTTTCACTTTATTTTTCATTCTCACTTATTTACCTCCTCTATCCTTTCGATTTCTATACCGGAGTGTTTACCCTGTGGGGTCTAGTACATGACACCATTTACTATACATTGCTACATGTATCCTAATTACCACTCTGTCATGAGTGAGTTTGCTACATTGTGTAGATATTGATACATGTGAGCTTAGCTATATCTCTGCAGATACCAGGCCCTCTGTATCCATTTATTTTATAACCTTGTTTGTTCTCTAGTTTTCCAATTAAAGTTGTTTATAATTTTTTTGAGACGTCATTTTGGGGTGGCTTGAAGGTGATCAGCCCGTTTTCTTTACGGGGTGATCATATCCTTCATCTTTTTTCTCTTTTGCGCTTTATGCCGGGTTATGCCCATTTTGCCACCCCAATAACCCTCTTTTTGCTGGTACTCCCCATTAGGTTGTTAACCTGGGAAGTACTTTTCTCTATAACAATTGGAATAGTTTGTGAATAAATAGTTTATTTGCTGTATTTTAAAGTTCTGTGGAATGTATTGGTGTATGGTGGTCATAAACCATAAGGGGTTAAAAACAAAAAGGGCAAAGGATATTACATAATGTGGAAATGTAAACTTGCTTAAAGGGTTTCTCTAACCACCGTGATCACTTCTGCTTTTAGAAGTGGTCATGGTGATCTGAGTCTGTATGTGCCCTTTTGTACCAGGGGCTATTTGCACCCCTGGCACGTGTGACTTAGGCGGCCCTGAACCCTGTTCACGGCTGTCTGCTGTCCATTCTGTGCAAAAAAAATACATCTGTCTTTAGCGCGCACAGCACTCTGGCAACAGGTATGTGTTTCTTCCTTGCAACGCTGCCTGCCAGGGGAAACCTTGATGCTCCCTCGCTGCAAATTGTTGTGGAAAACCGCACGGAGAGCTTTGTCTGATGCTGGAGTCCAGGTAAGTTTATAGAAGTTTGCGGAGGGGGGAGGAGATCGGTAATAATGCCTAGTAGGATATTGCATACTTAAAAATATTTTATACAAAGGCTTACAGTATATAAGGTGTATATATTAAATTTCACATCTGCTATACATATTACTTTTTCCTTTAGCATAGAATAAATCCCAGGCAAAAATATAAGATATGTAAGAAAAGGGATGTTATTCATTGCTGCATAATGCTTACAGGTTTCAAGACGCTCCTGTTTCATAAGATTTGTTTGCACTTGTTCTCTAATCCCAAGTGGGTGTTTAGATAGCAAACAGAACGCTTGGCAAGTACTCTAGTTTGAAGCATTATTTGATCTAGAAGAAGTGGAAGTACATTCAGTTGTTCAGCAAGCGAATGTAAATGAAGGTTTTTCATTCCATGACTATCAAATCAGAAAATCAAAAGTGTGGATAGGGTTCAGATATTTCCAATTCATTCAGTCTATATTTAAAGGGGTATGTACATTGAGCTTTTTAAAATATCAGTTTATTAGATAAATTGTGATGACACTTATTTTAATTTCATTTCAAGAGCTCTGCCTCTATTGTGTATATCAGTGGTAGTCAACCTTTTTCTACCTACCGCCCAATAATGCATCTTTCTTGATGGAAAAATTTCCTTACCGCCCACCAGTTTTCGCGCAAGTGCAGAATATTTTTTAGAAAGGAGGGTGTTTTAAAAAATAAATGTACGTACATTTATCTTATTTCTACATAATGCATGTTTATAATATTTTTAACTTTATAAATTTTAATTGGAAAAAAATAAAGTAAATTGAAATTACCTTTACTAGTGATTAATGAGATCCTTGAGGCTGATACTGCAAGACTAAATATTTGATATGTGGTTCGATTTTCGTAAGGAACAAACGAAGGTCTCCTCTTTCGGTGATATTCAGACGACTTCTCTGTTTGCGCATAATATGATTTGTCATCTGTGCGTCAGATCATCTCATCTCCCTCCTCAATTCCCCTCCCCACTTTTTTTTTTTTTAAATCCCTTTTTTTCTATTTTTTTTAACCTTCCTTATAGCAATGCCCAGTAGGAAGGCTTAGATCGGTAGCCCACTTACTATAGCCCACTATAACAGACAGGCACACACACATAAAAAGACACATACATACAAAAAGACAGGCACACATACATACAGGTACACAGACCAACACAAGACACATACAAAGACGACATACATACAGATACACACAAGACATGCATACATAGACACACACAAGACATACATACAAAGACACATACAAACAAACACACACAATATATTTTTGTCACCCTCCTGTTTCCTACCTTTTTAGGTGCAGGAGGGTGACTTTCCCTGGGGTCCAGTGGTGGCTCAGGTGCATGGGAGTCAGAGTTCCCACTCTGACTCCCTGGTCTTCCTCCCGCGCGGCTCTCAGTTTTAGCTGGGAGGAGTGACGTGCAGTCACTTCCTCCCAGCGTGTGATGTAATAATAGGGGGCCCGGTCGCGCTGTTAAAGCGCCCAGCGCTGACCGGGCCCCCTCTCAATCCACATCCATCGGGTGGCCCTGACAGCATGGGCCACCCGATGGACCCCTAGGTCGGCCCCGGCGGTTTGCCACGCGGGCCGGGGCCGAAAATGGTGACGGCGGTACCCGGTCGCACGGGTACCGCCGGCTCGCGCCCTCCCTCCCGCCTACCCAATCTCTGAAATCCCTACCGCCCACCTGGAATCCTGAAACGCCTACTAGTGGGCGGTAGGGACCAGGTTGACGACCCATGGTGTATATAATGGTGAAAAATTAGGAAATACAATTACATATCGTGTTGTTAAAGGACCACATACTTGTTTTCCTGGCTCTATAGGGTCCTTGGGTCCCCCTCCCGCCGGGCTCTAGGGTGAAGAAGGGGTTAATTTCTTACCTTTTTCCAGCTCTGGGCTCCCTCGGCGCTGGGGAATCTCCTCCTCCTTCTGCCATCATCGGCTGAATGCGCATGCGCGGCAAGAGCCGCGTGCGCAGTCAGTCCATAGGAAAGCATTCTCAATGCTTTCCTATGGATGCTGGCGTCTTCTCACTATGAAAATCAGTGAGAAGCGCCTCTAGCGGCTGTCAATGAGACAGCCACTAGAGGCTGGATTAAAGGACCACTCTAGGCACCCAGACCACTTCAGCTTAATGAAGTGGTCTGGGTGCCAGGTCCTTCTAGGGTTAACCCATTTTTTTTTATAAACATAGCAGTTTCAGAGAAACTGCTATGTTTATGAATGGGTTAAGCCTTCCCCCAAAGCCTCTAGTGGCTGTTTCATTGACAGCCGCTAGAAGCGCTTGTGTGCTTCTCACTGTGAAAATCAGTGAGAGCACGCAAGCGCCCATAGGAAAGCATTGTAAATGCTTTCCTATGCGACTGGCTGAATGCGTGCGCAGCTCTTGCTGCGCGTGCGCATTCAGCCGACTGGGCGGAGAGGAGGAGGAGGATCGGAGGAGGAGAGCTCCCCGCCCAGCGCTGGAAAAAAGTAAGTTTAACCTCCTTTCCCCTTTCCAGAGCCAGGCGGGAGGGGGACCCTGAGGGTGGGGGCACCCTCAGGGCACTATAGTGCCAGGAAAACAAGTATGTTTTCCTGGCACTATAGTGGTCCTTTAACCCTAATGTAAACATAGTAATTTCTCTGAAACTGCTATGTTTACAGCTGCAGGGTTAATCCTAGGTGGACCTGGCACCCAGACCACTTCATTAAGCTGAAGTGGTCTGGGTGCCTATAGTGGTCCTTTAATGGCATGTCACAGGATCATTAATGGACGGCTAAGGTGACGTTATTCACTTAAGTGAGAATTCCCACTGAATTTTATGTATAAGGCCAGAGAGTATCCAAACTGAAAGCTTAGCTGGCAAAGATATTTTTTTCTAGTTTGGCTATATTGCCCTTATTTTGAAATTCACTTTGAATTCTCATGTTCGTATATAATCCTGCACATACAGCATGTTGATTAACAAGTGCTCCCATCTGCAGAATAGCATTCTACCAATTTTCCCAGTGTTGATGAGAATTGGTAAACTAGAGTACCAAACGTAAATACTAAAAGTGTGATATATATTTTTTTTAACCATTTATTTGTAAGTAGTGAAAGACTAGAGTAACTATAGCCAGAATACCAAAGTCTTATCTAAGTCACCATTTGTGTGGCCTATCAAAATGCCTTAACATTATACAATGATCTTGTGTTCCCCTTATTGCAGTTTTTGTATCACAATACAAATGTATATAATCTCCTTAACATTTCTCCCATTCCTCTTTCAATGTGCCTTTCATAGATCGGATTCTCTGCGGCAGACGCTGTTACTGGACTCAAGCTTGTAGAGAGGGGTGTCCCAAAGGAACACTTGGCACTACTTGCTGTTCCAATGGTTCCTCTACAAATACTACTGCCTCTGATAATCAGCAAATATACTGCAGGGCCCAAGCCACTGAATGTCTCCCACAAAGCGATGCCCTTTAGGTTTGTATCAATGCACATTGTACAAATGAGAAATAAAATGTGGTAATACTGTACATAGACTAGATGGATATACACACTTAATAAATATTTCTACCAGAAGATGTTTAAATTGCAAAGTAGATGATGGTGGGGAGTGTGCCTCACATCTACTGATGGTGTACATGACACGTGCTGCTCACGGAAGTTGGAAAATAAATCAAAAACAGACTGCAAGAGAACACTGACAATGGACAAAAACCTCAACTAGCATGTCCACTTTGTTTAATTTCTGGTCTGGTCTCAAGCTAGTTTTTGTTTACAGACAGAACCCATGCAATTTGCATATCAGACTGATCTCACCCCAAGGGGCTGCCCAGAGCCAAAGTGCTAGCAACATCTCTTGATATGAGGATAAACCACAGATTACTATTTCAGCATTGCTAGGCCTCAACAGTGAAGTTTGCTTAATAACCCCTAGGAACAGTATGGACAATATATTTGAGTTGGTTTCCATTCTCAGTATTTTCTTTGGTATAATAAATGATGTATACATTCTTTAATCAAAGCTACTAACAACAATGAGGATAGACCCGTTAATGATCAATATGGTGGATGTCATTATATAATGGGAAGTTTTCCCAAGTGCCTACAAATACAACTTGTAGGTTAATGATGCTGCTGGAGATGGAACTAAACACCTGGTATGTAGCCTAAATATCTCTGTATGTGCTGTGTTTCATACTGACAATGCACATACAAGATCCTTGCACCACGACCAATGCAAAACGCTGAATGCTCATGGTACCCGAGATAATCCTTTGTATAAAATAAACAAGTCTAGGAATATAATCTAATCTATAGTCATAACATCAACATTTATTGTTTCTGTAATAGATTTTATATTATGCCATTTCCTTCTCTTTATGTTTTCACTGTTACTGGAATGTTTGTACTTTTGCGCAAACCATCTCTTTGACTAAGTAATTCTTTCAACTGTATCACTTCATGCGCGCGCACACAAAAATTGAATCTATTAGTTTGCAAGCAATTTACCTAACTCCGTATAGAGATAAAATGCTAATCCCTACAGGCGTGTGTTTTTTTTTTTTGTTTGTTTTTTTTTTTTACTATAGTAAATTGCTTCTGTGTATTTCATCAGCCAGATGTGTTTTTTGTTTTTCCCACTTTCTGCTCTATTATTTTCCACTTTTCTGTGTGACGTTCTAGATCTAGAACAATATTGGTAACAAGTGCTGATTAGTGCACAAAATCGCTATTTGCACTATTTTGAACAGTATTCGATCACACAACACATTATTACAATAGAAGAACCCTGGCCAATTAAAGATCAGAATAGTTTTCTGTAATAAATTCACTTCTAATAGCTGAATGAGGTTTACAACTACATTCTGTTATCTTCCTAGGTTGTTGATGGGTCTGGAGTTCTCATTTCTGGTTTGGTGGACATCTAGAGTAAACCACGAGGATGGTTTCCCTCTGTATTATTACTTTGCTCTGTTAGTGAGCTATGCCTTACACCAGGTAAGTAGGTACATTATATTTTTGCTGTTTAGTGAATAGATTTATTAAATGCATGCATTTTGATATGATCCTGTAATTATCTCTTGAGTATTGTCCCCAAGCATAGTGTGACGTATGTGTAATGGCAGCTCTTATGTTCCTGCTACAAAGTGCTATCTAGTTAAAAGCCCACTTTGGACACCATAACTACAGCTTATTGCAAAGGTTGTTGTGCAAGGGATATGTGTTTGGTTGTGGAATTTCATAACAACTATGGAATATATCGTGTCAGACATCTTTTGACAATCGACTATGCTTTTATTCCATCTTAAATTGATTCTATATTTTGGGCCGCATCTGATGCACTTTACTAAGAAGTAAATGTTTGAAAAAATTAAAATCTACTCGTTAAGAGAATATACAAATTTTGCACTGTGTGAGTTACACAATGTGTTCTAATGTATGTCAAGCTAGCCATGCAGAAACATTGTATTCTTATGCAAGCTTGAAATAAGCTTTGACCATTGTAAAAGCTAAAATGTGTAATCATCGTGAGAGTAGAACCATTATAAATAATTTTCACAAAGTATAATTATGATTATCACAATGGGTTGACCCCAAAGAGAATATTTTTGGAGAACTGTAGCATTCTGTTGGACCTTGGACCCTAAGCAAATCCATTGTTAAATACCGTGACAAGTACCTAAGTAACTAAAGTGATGGAAACTCAATATCCGGCATATTAGAGACCAAAGTTTAACTCAGAACATGTCTTTTCATTTATTTCAGTTAAAAATAGAGCAATAGAGAGTTGAATGTTAAAAGTATAAAAACATTTATTTGGAAAATTGTTTGACAACAAAAGTTTTTGTTATGCAAAAATCTGAATTGCGTATTGATGTGTCATGTTAGTCATCAGAATGTATGTTGAAAAAGCTATTGTGGTACCAATATGTTATCACAATGAAAATTGACTATAAGGTTCAATATGTTCATCAGTGATATACATAAGGACTGGATACATTGATATATATACTCTTTTTATGTATAAAATATGACCTTTTCGTTTTCAGTGTAAAAGATTTATTTTTGTTTATTATAAAAATATATTTGAAAAGTATGTTAAAATTATGTTTCTTCTTATTGCCTTTCAGATTACTTTATATAGTATGTTTGTGGCTATCATGGCTTTCAATGCCAAAGTTAGTGATCCTCTTATTGGAGGCACATATATGACACTCTTAAACACCGTGTCCAATCTGGGATCAAACTGGCCTGCCACTGTGGCCCTTTGGTGTGTGGATCATTTGACAAGCAAAGCATGTATTGGAGCAGAAGGGCAGAGCTGTGGCGATAATGATGCTGCAGAGGTGAGATGTCTATCATGTCTTCTTAGTTTGTTTTCTTCTCATTTTAGTAAATCAAACAAAACTGTTGACATTTAGCAGGATATTTTTTATTATTCGTTTAATTTTCTTTAAAAAAAATCCTGCAAAAAAGGACATTTTAATTTTATGTATAAATAATGTTGGTGTTACGTTTTTAAACAATGGGTATTGATTGTGTGTTTTTTTTTATTATTATTTTTTTTAATATACCGGTACACTGGGCAGATCATGTACATAGTGTAATCCTTGCACATGGTACTGCTGGGAAAGCACAGGGCATAAATGCCTCCTTTATGGAATTTTATCCCCATATATTCATGAGCCCCATAAAAAGGCCTCATGGGATAACTTAGTACAGCAGATCATCTATTTATATGCCTCTATTGCTTTATTCATCCCAGTAAACACTGTAGTAGTGGTTACAGAGACAGAGCTGAGGGAATGATTAACTGTCACTTTTCTGGCTTTGAGTTTTACTTTAAGCACATGAGCAAGCCCTACGAAATAACACTTCGGACGAGAGCTAAAGAAAGTTCTTAACTAGGAGCTTCTGGTTCTCTGTCAGTAATAATGGAGGCAGGAAGCTGTGCCTGGTGGACCCCATAATAACGACCACTACACACCCCAAGCAAGCTTGAAGTGCTTTATGGGTAAGGCGTATCCTATTTCAAACCCAGTTTATAAAATTGCAGATCTCCATGAGAAATGTGTATCTTTTATAAACAGCCTCATTCTGTTGGCAAACCTGAGCTAACGGAAGTGTCAGTCAAACTGTACTTGATCGCGCCTGCCTCCTCCCACACCAACCTCAGCCAGCAGTACATTTCATTTGCTATGTCTTGCCCAGATCTCTGCTATTTCATTGAGTATGTTTTTAGTCTAAAAGCCAAAAAAAAGTGGAAATGCGGCAGAGTTTAATTATTTGCTTAGTGAAGTGATAATTAAAAGACCTTGTAAGCACAATATTTTAGCCATGCTTTTATTTACATTGGCTGTATTGTTGAATTTTAGAGTAAATGTTAGTTTTTTGGTTTTTTTTGTTTGTTTGTTTTTTTTCATACTATGTTTTGGAAACTTGAGAGAATTATCTTTCTAAACTGCTATTGTGTTATTTTAAATAGAAAACAAAATTACGGCACCGCAGTAGTTATTCACTAAAGTGAGAATTCAAAGTGAAGTTCAAATTTAAGGCAAGAGCAGCTGATCTGGAAGCATATCTGACTTAGAAAATGTTTCCAGTTTGGCTATTTTGGCATTAAATTTGAAATCCAATTTGAATTTACTTTAGTAGGGCAGGTTACTTAAAGGACCACTATAGTGCCAGGAAAACATACTCGTTTTCCTAGCACTATAGTGCCCTGAGGGTGCCCCCACCCTCAGGGACCCCCTCCCGCCCGGCTCTGGAAGGGGGAAATGGGTTAAAACTTACCTTTTTCCAGCGCTGGACGGAGAGCTCTCTGCCTCCTCTCCTCCTCCGTTCCGCCCCGCCGGCTGAATGCGCACGCGCGGCAAGAGCTGCGCGCGCATTCAGCCGGTCTCATAGGAAAGCATTTACAATGCTTTCCTATGGACGCTGGCGTGCTCTCACTGTGAAAAATCACAGTGAGAAGCACGCAAGCGCCTCTAGTGGCTGTCAATGAGACAGCCACTAGAGGATTAGGGGGAAGGCTTAACCCATTCATAAACATAGCAGTTTCTCTGAAACTGCTATGTTTATTAAAAAATGGGTTAACCCTAGCTGGACCAGGCACCCAGACCACTTCATTAAGCTGAAGTGGTTTGTGTGCCTAGAGTGGTCCTTTAACCAAGGAAGACTGTAGAGAAAAACTGTAAAGGGTTAAAGAAGCATTTCCAGTCCCATAACAATTTTAGTTAATTGAAATTATAATGAGGGCAGGAGTATCTGTGTGCTGTCTTACCTGGAGGGGTTAAGTTGTTCAGCAGTGGTTTAACCTTTAAGTTGGTCCTCTGGCACCTGACACAGCTACACCCACATCCTTCCTCTCTGCCGTTACAATATGAAGGTTTGGCCAGGAGGCTGGTGATGGGCTGAGAGCTTAGCAGAGGGACATCTGTGTCTAGTTATGGAAGACCAACATAGGGAGTTAAACCAATGCAGTGCTAACTTTATCCAGTACTTGCAGCAGCAGGTATAGCAAACACAAATTAAACGGTGAGTAGCAGTTTTCTCCCCATAGTTTATAAATTATAGCTGACCTGATGCTACTGCATTGTAGTTAAAATACTCCTAATTTGTATCTTCCCCTCTGTGCTTTGAGCTAGTTATATTAAATCTGTAATTTCATATTCTTTACTTTAATCATATACTGTCATTTGTTTTTTGCAGCTGTGTCTAAAATCTGGGGGCTCATGTGTCATTACATTGGACGGTTATCATGTGGAGTCTGCTATATGCTTTATCATTGGATTTGCTTGGTGGATTTTTCTTGGCCCAAAATTTAAAAAACTGCAGGAAGAAGATCCTTCTGCATGGAGGTGTCCACGAAGGATTCGTTTATAGAATTGCATTTAATGACAAATTCTGTCATTACTTTTTATGGACAACTATAAACACAAAGTAAACACGATTATTTTTGCAGAAAAGGAGTAGTATGAAAAGTGACTATTCTGCAAAATGTGGGAGGGGTGGGGGGGAGATGCTACTATCACATTGTCCGTTGATAGATTTTTGGTCATTTTGATTTTTAAATGCTCATATGGCTCTTTAGGGTTTTTTTGGGGGGGTTCTTTTTTTAATACACATTTTCTCCTAATTTTATCTATATTTTGTATTGGTATTATTAATGTGTCCAAGGTTTTTATATTCTGTTGTGTAAATGTAGGGAATGTTTTGCTTTTATAGGTTCCTCTTTCCTGTTATAACATTTAGAATGGTGTCTTTCTTTGCTTTTTAACTTGATTGATGGGTGAAATCAGGAAGCACAAAAAATAGGTGCTCTCTATATACTTATAGTGGAAGGCAGAAGCCAATTCTACAAAGATTCCCAAAATCTTGTGGAGATAGAAATATAGCACAAAAACAATAGGCTAAAATACAAAATAGGTCATATGTGGAGTCACAAAATAAATATATATTTTAGTGGTGTGTGTGTGTACATCAAGCTTATGGGATCTTTATCCGTTACACAGTATCAGATTTCTCAGAAAGAACCAAAAAGAATAGTGCAATAGTTCCTTAATAGAATAAAGTGCTATAGCGAAAGCTCACTCACAATTTATAGAGCTACAAAGTGCTCCACTTTATTCGGCTTAGACGGTAAAACCCCCGACTTGGGATTTGTTTTTAGCAGTGGTGGTAGTGGGCTTTGCCAATATATCAAGATATGTGGGGAAAAAAATGAATATCCAATAGTGCAACATGTATACTAAAGTGACTGCGTATACAAAGGTTAGTATCTCACTCACATGAACTAGAACATGGACCTGCTCTAGTGTAGAAGCGGTGTGGTGGTATAACCCCCACCCAGGATGTGTATGGATCAGGAAGCCAAAAATAAAAAAAGTTAACCATCCAAAATAAGTTCCAGATTAATTACATTTTAAAAGGATTACGTTTTATTGCAATACACAAACTAAATTTAAAAAAATATATAATATAAAACAGTCATATAAATGGTAAAATCTCACTTTACGTGTTTGACCTTGGTTTCATCAGAAGTGTGGATTGTTAGTGCATAGAATCAGTTTATATAGGTAAGTAATCAATTTGATTAACCGTGAACAAATGTGCACAATAAAGTTAATTAGCATAAAATGCAGTACAGTAACAAATGGATTAAGCAATGGAACCAACTGAACAGAAGAAATTTTCTTTAGAATATTTTTTACACAAGGTAAATCAATTCCTCTATTTACACAACAGCATTAAAATGGGACACGTTAGAAAAATAAAACACAAACGGTATACAGAATTATGAGAAGAAGTTTATTAGACAAAACACTAAAAAGTAGGTCTGCTTTAAATTGACATTTAGCCTGATTTGTAATTTGGGAAAGACTGGTTATTCGCTAAACTTTGACTGATGGAGGATTGAAAAGAGAGAATTGCAAATGTTATGGACAAAATTACTAAATTTGACACTTTCTCCAGTTTTTTTTTTTTTTTCTATCCTGATCCTAAAATTTGCAATTCTCGTAAAATCCATAAGCGAATGCATTAACATGTAAACAAGTTACGGAGACGTGATAAATTACAAATAGTCAATCAATATACAACCAGTCTGTTTTAGTAGTGTTCTTGTCCTTTTATCTATACATGGCTGATGAGATATGTTTTTCTACATTGACAGCTTGTATTTTCTGCTTGTTGATGCCTTTGCACAGTTTGGGGAACTCACCAATGGAGACCGTCCTCCTACACCACATGAGATTCACAGGGGGCATGATTTTGGTATGTTTATTTTCAGTGAAAAAGTGTTAAAGATAAAATCTCATCTGTTCTTTTTTTCAGGCAATAATTTGCCTCTGTAGCATTTACTTTACTTGGGACCACCACAAGGCAGCTTATATAAATCTTCTGGGAACATTGTTATAAAGATGCAGTGCTTTGAAAAATACATGGACCATAAATGTACTCCCATTTACTTTGTATTTTTTTTTGTTTATGCAGGCTGACTGTTTGCATTTGACAGTGTAGAGAATTATGTTTTTAAACGGAATCCATCGACAATGTGTTGTGTATAATATGTTTCAATCGCCTCTTTTAATATAGTGATTGATTGAAATTCCTATTTTATTTTTATCTGCACAGAAGTGTGAAATGATATTTATTGTTAAGCGAAAGGATACACAACGGTAAACCTTCTATAGTTCTGGAGACATCATGATACTGAATACAGCATAAATCATCTTTTATATTACAAAATAAAGTAAAAATTTTCTGTTCCACAACAAATAAAATGCCAGGGGTAGTTACCTGTAGCTACTGTGGAATGAAAAACATACCCACACAAACGCACATTCATTTCAGTGTTATTCACAAAAGTGAAAATTCAAATTTAAGAGCAAAATTGTTGAGCTGGAGGCATAAGTAAAATTATTTTCCCTTTCAGCTACATGGCCTTAAATTTGAACATTTTCACTTGAGTGAATAATTAGGTTGTCTCAATGGCAGGCCTGGTATATATGTTACAGCTTGCCTAAGATTTTTGGGAACTACACTCCAATTCAATAGCCACTGTTTGCAACTGTCATGATTATCACACTCATTCTTCCAGCAGAGAAAAATGTTGGGGAGAGATTTGTTACCCCCTTTTTACTCCCCCAGTCCCATAACAGGCCTACATGTAAAGGAATGGAGCAGAATTAAAAAATAGGTCACTTTAGTTTAGCACAACTAAATATGTATCTAAAGGTTAGCTATTGTTGTGCTATTTCTTTTATTTCTCACTTTATATTATTTGCATACTTTACAGGCATCTCTCCCAGTGCTGTACACGCCGCACATATATACAAGATTTCTAATTTAGATGCCAGAGTGCGCATGTGCATAGCGAGGCATCATTGGGCAATGGAGACTCAAATTTAATTTTACTTACCTCTGCAGGATTATTCACCTCTGTAAACCCTAAAATAACATTTACTGGGATGAAGGAACAAAGAACCATCACTTCTGTAAAAAGTGACTGTTAATTTTTAATAACTTCAGGAGTGGGTAGCACTGGGATATGCATATCCCAGGCTGCCACAGATTGAAGGCCATCACTCTTGGGCTGCCATCCATGCCTACTATTAATTATTCAGTCCCTCCATCAGATATTTACAGGTGATTAAATCAAAGATTATTAGATTTTTTTTTATTTTTTTTTTATTTTATTATTAGGCTTGCACAAAAAAGTGTTCCATCCTTAAATCAATTTGTGCAAATCAAAATACTTTTAATCCACACCGAATAAATCAATACGTTCAGAAATAAGTTAATTTCTGAATAAATCAATCCGTTCAGGTGTGGATTTTTAATTCTTATCAATATTTTAATTTATGGACAAAACTCATTTTCTGCACAAGTCTAGTTAATACTTTTAAGTATAAATTTTTTGTAGTATTAGTGTTATTTTTTATTTTAGTATAAATCCCACTACTAATTGTACAAGATGTATATTATGGATCACCTAAGTGGGTTTTTTTTTTTTTTTTTTTTAATGAAGTAGTTCAAATGAATCCTAGGATGTAGATATTCCATAATAATCATAATTTACTAGCCGATAACAATTTCTGACAAAGTTCTAAATGTGGAAATGTCTGTGTGACATTTGGCCAATTCCTTACAGTTCTTTTGCTCCGTGAATAACCCTGAGAGTGTCTGTGGTTAAAATTCACTGCTGCAACCAATGATCCTTGCGATAAACTCCATCTAAAACACATGTAAAAGGTAAATGTATATGTTTTATTGCTAAAAGACCTAAATGGTAAAATATGGTAAAAGCCATACTGCTATCACATCAGCCTTATGATTTTCCAGAAATCTCTAAGGTAGAACTGGATGTGTTTGCTTGCTACTGTGCCAAGCAGACTGCCCAAGTCCTGTCATATTGACGGCTGCAAGAAACCCTGCATCGTGTTGAGAGCAAAGACGTATTATCCTTTTTTTTTTTTTTTTTTTAAATAGTTCTTGTGTGAATACTCCAAGTACCATAAGCACTACAGCTCTCAGCCAATGATCTAATCTAAGTCCTGCAAGTCAGGAGAGCTAACAGAAGCTCCTGATTTTGTTCCGGCATTAGTAGTGGAGGTGGAGAGAGACTCTTGGCAAGCCGCAAGTAAGAAAGCAAACCATTTAAAAGGGGGTTGACTGTTTACAAAGGAAGGGGAGGGCACAGCTGGCACCATAACCACTACAGTGAGATGTAGTGGTTATGGTGCTTGGAGTATTACTTTTAATGTCTGAGTTTGTGCGGGCAATTCATTCCAATAACTTCCCGTACACAATTATGGGCTGGGAGTAGGTGCATGTAAAAATATTTTGTATTTTTTGTTTTGTTTTTTAAATAAAATTTTAACTGTTTATAAAATACAGATTATCTTGTAAACAAGTCATGTTTCTTGAAAATAATCTTTATCAAATGAATCATTTTGTACAAAAATTATTAGTGATCGGTTTTATTTTCTTACAGTGTTGATATAACTGTAAATCTTTAAAGACAAATTATTGTTCTACTGATTAAAAATAAATATTAAAGAAAACTTTATTTCAAAAGTGCCACTTATGGATTTCTTTGTCTTGTTTTAACATACATTTTCATGAATTGTTGCTATGTTAACTGCGAGATTATGGATTGCTCAAAGTTAATACTTATAGGTTAAAAGTCCACGAGTCCCAAACCACCCCCTTTTTTCCCCTCTCTTTTTAAAATCTGCTTCATTACAAAGTTATACATAAGGAAAAGTAGCTGTGTGTTTTGTTTTTTTTTTTGTTTGTTTTTTTTATTCCTTATGTGTGACTCAAAGGTTGGAGGTTTAGTCAAACTCCACTGCCTTTGTATCTGGCCTGGGTTTTCGTTTACTCACAACCCTCAAGCGCCTTATCATATCCTGTAGTGGTGCGTCACTGCTCTCTTGGTTACAACTCCTTGCAGACTGTGCAAAAAAAATCCATTTTAAAAGTAAATGTTTTGGTCAACCAAATATGAATTTTTGTATTTAAAGTCAATCTGTTACCATATGGATCCCTTGGGAGAAAGCTGAGGTATCATTGCAACTTTGCCCCTAATGCCTCCTCCCCATACATTTTCAGAACTGTTGACTGGCTTTACTTACCTATGTGTACCCGTATTTAAATTCAGGGCACCACCATGTTAGATTCTTGATAGTGGTGGTAGTGTCTAGATTGAAGAACCAGTGGGACCAGAACTCTGTACACACAGGTAAGAAAGCCAGTCCAAGGTTCCAAAAATGTTTTTTGGGGGGGGCAAAGATGCAATGATACCTCTGCTTTCTATGGTAACAGATCAACTTTGAAAACAAGAATTTATATCTGGTTCATTGAAACATTCACTTTTAAAAAGGATTTTTTCTTTTTTTTAGTAAGAGATGAAAGCTTTACAGCTGATCAAAGTGGTTCAAGTGTGTAAATGTGTGGAGTAATCATCAATGGACCGCCTATGGATTCTGTTGGTTTCTATAACTTCACTTTCAGAGCTCTGCACAACCATTAAGGATACGATACTTTGATAAATATACATAAGTGAAGTGTAGAGACTCTTCTCCGAGAAGAACATTTGAATATTTAGCAAAGATCCTGAAATTGACAGGTTTGATGTGGGTCTGGTAGATTCAGGGTGCAAGGGAGGTAAGTTTTAATTACATTACGCTATCCCTTGTGAGCACCACCAGCTTCATCTTACTCTCCTCTTCGGCTCCTGTTGCTTCAGTTGCTAGGAGCCATGTCAGTGTATACATGAGACTACAACACAGACCCTGAATTCTACAGCCATCATTTGGACTGAACAAAAGTTAACGTCAGAGCAGTACCGCCGGTGCGTCAGCACCAGGGCCCGCACACCTTGGGGGGCCCATCAGGTTTCTTCTGCACTAAGGACCACCCGACAGGTAATACTACTAAATAGGGGTCCGGTCAGGAGCCGTGGCTCAAAAGAGCCTGACCGCCCCTGCAGTTTTGGTGAAACCGTGAAAAATCCTGGCAGGTACCCCCCAGGTAGATCTCATCAGGGATCCAGTCAGGTGCGTCGGCCCTTTGGCAGTGCGACTGGGCCCCTTAAATATGTGCAGAGAATGCTGGCAGGAAGTATCTGTTACTTTCTCCCAGCTTAAAGACCACATGTGCTGGAGGAGACAGAGGAGGAACAGTGAGGGAGCTCTGCAGGCAGTCAGCCGCAGACTCCCATCAGCAGCAAGCCCAGGAAGTCACCTGCCTGCAACCAAAAGTTATGGAAGCAGGTGGGTGATAAACAATGTAATTGCAATGTGTGTGTGTGTGCCAGTTTATCTTTGTGTCAGTGTGTATCTTTTTACAAAAAGTGCAGATTTCAATGGAAGTTTGCACTTTTATAAAATAACCTTGTCACTGTCCCTGGCTTTCAAACAGACAACAGGCCCTCTTACTTGCTGGTTATTTAGAGATAATTAGGAACACCTGCCTTGCAAAGACTTTTCATTGAGCTGCATTGGAAAGTCTGTAATTGGACAACCACAGAGGGCATGAAAAGGTATTCCCTACTACAGTTAGGAGTCACCAAATCAGAACCTGCTTCAATTCAACTGAAATGGGCTCCGAACCTATGGGTGCAACCCTCAGATGGTCCCATATTTTTACGCAGGCATCAGTCAGCCTTTCTAGAAGGGAAGCCTTCTATTATCGTATAATCAGATGGTATAATACCCCACGCCGACTACACTCTTTCCCACAATGAGCGATATATGCTGGAGGTGTCAGGGGGCAGAGGGAACAATGAAACATATATGGGGGAATTGTGAGGACATTATCCGTTTGGTTCACCCAACTATCCCCACGCTTACTGCATCTCAGGTTCTACTAGGGTGGCCAAGCTCCCTCCCAGACCTGCACAATCAGAGGTTGCTGTGTCTTATTTTGGGTGAGGCGAATGCCTTGATTCAAGCTAACTGGAAAAGGTGATGGTGTGGATAATTGTGTTAACTGTGTGGAGGACCTTTGACAAATGGAGGATACGCACTGGTCAGCCAATGGACGCAAACGGTAGTATTTAAAAGTCTGGGACCCATGGCTGAATTACTGGTTCCCTGCCCGAGACCTACATGGCGCCTCACCCAGGAACTGCTCCCCTCCGTAAAGGAGCTAGCCACATACCTCGGTACTGTGGGAGTGGGAGACGGGACCAAGGGACCTTAGTGATCACCATTGACAGGACATATGATAGAGCGACTCACCCCACTTTGCCATCGGCCTACCCATCGGGGTTACTGGTTGACCTACCCTACCCGATCTCTAAGTGGAAAAAACACGTCGCCCTGCGATGCTGTACAAAACATCTGGTAAGCCAATGGGTTTTTCCCAGACCATGAAAGATGAACAGTGTTAGTTTATAGTTACCTTTTTTTTCCTTTCGTAAATATGATTTCACTCTACAATTTCCCGGGTTGTACATCAACCACATAATGTATTGGCAAATTAACATGCAAGCACTGGCGTACATACCTCGGTCACAGGGGTCGCAGCTGCGACCGGGCATGTCACTCCAGGGGGCTCAGCCATCATCATTTGCGGCAAACCGCTGAGGCCGCATGTTAAGGTGATGGATTGTCAGGGGGCCCGCTGGGTGCTTTAACAACGCGACCGGGTCCCCTGTTGTGAGATCATCACTTCTAGGAGGAAGTGACTGCACGTGTGTGTGTCTTTCTGTGTGTGTCTCTGTCTGTATGTATGTATGTCTTGTGTGTGTGTCTGTGTATATGTTTGTCATGTATGTGTGCCTGTCTGTTTGTATGTATGTTTGTCGTGTGTGTCTGTCTGTCTGTGTGTATCTGTCTTTCTATGTATGTGTGTCGTGTGTGTCTTTGTATGTATGTTTCTTTTTAAGTATGTGTCATATGTGTCTGTATGTATGTGTCTGTCGGGGGGGGGGGAAGAGGGAGAGAGGGTCTCATGGATGAGTTTCGCACCGGGGCCCCATGGTTTATGTGTACGCCACAAAGGTTACCCTTTTGGTCTGTTTCAGCAAGGCAGCATAGACAGATATGACACTCTAAGTAGCTAGTAGAGGTTGTGAAGCTTGTGCCCCAATGCTGTGTCACCTCTGTATCATGCAGGAGGTTGACACGAGACACATCCAATATGTAGACAAGCTACACTCTATTTTTACGTATGTTTCACCACTTCAATGTACTGTACAATCCATCATACTACCTACAACCATTGTATTATTATTATTATTATTTTATTATTTATATAGCGCCATCAGATTCCGTAGCGCTGTTCAAAGGGTGGACTAACAGACATTTAATTGTAACCAGACAACTCGACGTACAGAAACAGAGAGGTGGAGGGCCCTGCTCAATGAGCTTACATTCTAGAGGGAGTGGGGTATAGTGACACAAAGGGTAAAAGTAGGGGTATGAACAGGGCCGGCGCTTCCTATAAGGCGAACTAGGAAGCCGCCTAGGGCGCCATATAGGAGGGGGCGCCCTGCGCCCCATCGCTAGCCCTTTAAATGCTGCAGCCGCCTGAGCGCTCTGTAGAGAGCGCTCAGGCGGCTGCCACACTGCCTCACCTCCCCTTCCCTGTAGCGTGGCCGAGCTCCCTGTAGTGTGCACTTCCTGTCAGTCCGGCCGGGTCGCGGACCGGAGAGGAGCTCGACCACGCTAGAGGGAAGGGGAGGTGAGAAGATTACAGGGAGGGAGGGGGAGTGGAGAAGATTGGAGGA